TTTTTTTTATCTTAATACATTTTTAAATATAATTCTTTATTGTAAAAAATATATTTTTATTGATTTCAGAGAGGCAGGGAGAGGGAGAGAGGGATAGAAACACCAATGATGAGAGAGAATCATGGATCGGCTGCCTCCTGCACGCCCCACACCGGGGATCGAGCCTGCCACACGGGCCTGTGCCCTGACCGGGAATCGAACCCTGACCTTCTGGTTCATAGGTCGGTGCTCAACCACTGAGCCACGCCGGGTGCACTTGTGCCTTTTGGACTCAGACACGGAATATTCGTGGACCGGAGCTGCATAAACATGCCCGGGTCTCCCACATCCCCCCCGCACCCCGGCCCCACGCTGTCCAGGATCCTGCGGGGATTCTTCCCCTGGTGTGTTTTCAGTGAGGGCGTCCCCCCTCCCCCAGGGCCCCCAGGAGGTGGCGCCCAGCGGGTGTTCCTGCCTGGAGTGACGTCCCTCCACGTGCAAGGCCTCCTCAGCGGCTGGCCTCCCGCCAAGCACAAAACACGCCAAATACACGTTTCAAGACCCGATGCTGCCCCAGGGGGCGTCAGGTGGAGGGTTGGCCCTTGTCTAGCAGCTGTCTGAGCATGTGCTGGCCTATCAGCGGGGACAGGGGCACCGGCGGGCAGGCCGCCCATCCGCCTGTCCGCCCGTCCGCCCGTCCGCCCAGAGAAGGGTTACATGTAGCCTTGAGCAGAGATGCTGGTGGTGCTGGTCGTGCAGCGAGGGCTGCGACAGGGAGCTCAGGCACGGATGCGGGGGCTTCGCAGACACACGGTCGGCTGCCCCCCTGCCGCTCCCCCCATCAATGTCGACATTCAGGGGTTATCGCAGCATAACTCAGCCCCAGACGGCTGCCTGTCTGGCCCCGTTGGATGTGTGTGAACGCACTTCTCCACAAACGACACTGGCATCTCTCAAGTCCCGTGGTCTCCAGTCTTATCTTATTCAGATGCTTAGAAACCCAGGGCTGGAGACTGGTTTTACCAAACGTCTCTTCAGCGTCTCTGGTAACCATACTGGGGCACATTTTCCTACAATCTGATCAATTTGGTGACTTGGATTACTAGACTAAAAAGTGTTTTTATTGATGTTAGATGCCTTAGAGAGGAAGGAAGGGAGAGAGAGAGAGAGAAATATTGATGTGAGAGAGAAACACTGATTGGTTGCCTCCCACATGCACCCCGACCGGGGATCGAACCCACAACCTGGGTCTGTGCCCTGCCCGGGAATGGAGCCTGCCACCCTTTGGTGTGCGGGATGGCGCTCTGACGACAGAGCCACCTGGCCGGGTGTGGGTGACTAGGTTTTAGAGATTGAACCATCCTTGTACTGCTGAGGTCATCGCGCTGGGTTAGTGTGGCCTCTGGATCCTACCTGCTCACAGGCTGAGAGCATCTGCTGTTTATCTTTTTCCTTAACGAGAGTAGGTGGTAGTTTATCTTGTGCTTTAATTTCCCCAAAGAAACCACCCCTGGCTTTTTATTAGTTTTCCTTTTCCTAATTAAATTATACTTAAAACCATTTTAATAATTTTATTGATTTCAGAGAAGAAGGGAGAGGGAGAGAGAGATAGAAACTTCAATGATGAGAGAGAATCAATGATTGGCTGCCTCCTGCACGCCCCCCACTGGGAATCAAGCCCACAACCCGGGCCTGTGCCCCGACTGGGAATTGAACCGTGACCTCCTGGCTCATATGGACGCTCAGCCACTGAGCCACGCCAGCCGGGCTAATTTATATTTTTTATTTTTACAAATCTGTTCCTTCTATTCCTCCCCCCCCCCAGTTTATTTATTTTTTCGGTTCCTTTTGTAACTTTTTAGGGTGGATAGTTAACTCCTTTTCCTTTTCTGTTTATTCACATGTGAATTTAGGGTTCTGGATCCCCCTCAGCACTGTGCTACTTGTAGTCCCATAGGGAGTTTCCTCAACTTTCCCGATGAAAAGATCCATTTAAAACACTCACCTCTGGGCTGCATCTCAGACCCACCCCCCAAACTGAAGTCTCCAGGGAAGGGACACGGCGGTGGGTCTGGAGGAGCGTCCAGTGAGTCCTTGCCGTTCAGGAGGGAGAGGCGGCCACGGAGCCCGTTGCTTCCCGCGGCCTCATGGGTATTTCCTGGGTAATCTACGATTCATCTTCCACTTGTCACATTTCCACGGCAGAGAACCGATGTTCTACTCTTAATGCGTTACACGCGAGAATCTGTCTGTAGTCCTTGGAATCTGAGTTTACTCGGTGACTTAATGTACAAAATTGTATTTATGTATATGTATTTCCACAGGCCCTTTGAAAGAAGGTATGTTTGAAGTATTCCATTTGCTATATATCAATTTTATCTACATTAACCATATTTGAGGTCTTCTAAACAGTTACTTTTTCCCTACTTGCATTGTCATGGGTGATAAGAATATAAAGCCCTCGTTACCATTCTGTACTTCTAGTCCTTTTTTCTGTTTGCTTCAGTTCTTTGTGAAGATAGATGCAATTTTTTTAACAACCATAACTAGATTTCCATTATGTTTAGATTTTCATCCTGGATAAGTCTCATGTAAATGTCTCTATTTCTGCTTGCTTGCTTTTTGGATCTCTCTCTCCTGTAAATAAGATGAGTGGTAAGAGGTCTATGCTGAGAGGCGATGCATGCGCACTGTTCAGCAAAGCGCTCCAGGCTCCCTCCTCCTCCCACTCCCACCCCGCGCCCAGGAGTGTGTGGGAAAAGGCGTCATCTTCCGCCTCGTCCTGTCATGTGCCCGGTTCATGGGGTTGCAGCGCACACCCCCCGGCCCCCAGCTCACCATCCCTCTTAGTTCCTTGTTGTTCCAGCATTCCCTTCTGCATCTACAGATGAGGGAGGACACGGACACGCTTTTCTACGCGAGTTCCCCCATTTTGGGGGCCATTCGCAGTCACGAAGGAGACACAGCTTGGAGTTACCTGAATACCATTTATTGGCTATAATATTCTTAACAATGGCTTTTTCTACAGAAATAGCAGGCTGCGGCACCCGGAGAACCCGCTGGGAGGAATGCGCACAGAAGGAATGGGCGGCAGCATCAACAGGTGTGCGAGAACAGAGGCGCAGACCCAGCCCCGCAGGGGACGAGCTCTGCGGGACCAGGGCGGGTCCAGGCGCTGACCGCACTGTGTCGGGTCCCCCCCCCCCCCCACGCGGGCCTTCCCCGCAGCCCCCGGGCCCCAGCTCTGCCTCTCCCTGTCCTGCGTGGACGCCGAGGGGAGCGTGCTTTCTGATTTGATACATTTTTCAATCACGGTCCCACTGAAGTGCCTGCTTACTGGCCACGAACACAGGTGCCCTGCCACGTTTTTGCAAAACTGTAAGGATCACACGGTATTCATTCTCTCGTCCGGGTTGAAAATGTGCGACCCTGAGGGCTGACCGTTTATTCTGCGGGAGGGGGTCACGCGGAGGCCACGGGACGCGTGTTTTGAAGACGGAGTGGAGGATCAGTGCGGTTGCAGCGCGTTCGACTGGAGGACGGAGCCGCACCCACCCAGAGCTCCACGCGAGTTCCGTCTCCCGGCCATCGCCGTCCGGCGTGGCACGTCACGTCAATGTCACACCATCTCTCCCGGCTTTTCTCACAGGAAGCGGGCCCTTAAGGCTGGACCAGGGGCTGCCACTGCCGTCCCCACGTAAAGGGGCCTCTTCACGGGAGTGGGTGGAGCGGCCCAGCCGCACGGGCCACCTTAGCCCGTCACTGGGGTCACTGGGTCAGGTGGGAAAGAAACGGGGGCCCCAGGCTCTGGGGAGTGGGGAGGAGGATGCTGCATAGATACCCTGACCTGCTGGGGCTGCTCCCCCCTTCTGATTGGGATGAGTCTGCAGGCAGAGGTCACCTGCAGGCAGAGGTCATGGGGTGATGTGTCTGTGGGAAGGATTCTGCCACGTCCAAGGCTGATGGGGTAGCTGATGGCTGGGCTTCGGGGTCCAGTGGGGACAGCCCTCTGCTGCTGCGTCGGCCTCAAGGGCTATGAACACGGAGGATGTCAGAGGGTGGAGAGACCTCGGCCCTGGGTTTGGTCTGAGAAAGGACCGTGTGTGTGGGTGACGAGCAGAGGCGAGCAGGGGTGGCAGCCTTGGCTGGCTGAGCCCAGTGGTGTTTAGGGGCTCGCTCAGGAGCCCCAGGGGTAACGCAGCCTGGGGCCGGCCCTGTGGAGGTGAGAAGAAAGGTGGTAGCTGCCACGTTGCCCACCAGGCAGCCAGGCTGAGAAGCCACAGGCTGAGGGTCACACCGGGCGTCGCGTTGGCACCGGGAGACTTCGGTGAGGGCTGGCGTGTGGCTCCTGGGTCACTTGGGCTGGCTGCGGTGGCTTTGGTAGCAGTGGACAGGATCCCCAAGCCAGCCTGGGCTCCCCGACCACCCCGGGGCGTGTTCCAGGAAGATCAGCCTCAGAAGGAGACGGCGGGGGGGGGGGGGGGGTGTACAGGGGAGAGGTGCCTGCTGCCCGTGCCGTGTCTGTTGTCCTCAGTGGCTCAGATGCTCGGAAACATCAGGGGGAGGGGCAGGGAGGCATCCGGCACCGGGAGACCCAGGTCGGGGTTAGCGTGCCGTGTGGGGGTTGCTCTGCGAAGCTGAGGGTCCCTCCTGGAGTGAAGGCTGCGGAGAGAGGGCCCCCCGAGACCAGGGGGAGGAGTGATGCTCATGGAGTTGCCTGTGTGGCTCCTGTGGTTTCTGTGATGTGGCCCGCGTGCGAGCCGGGGCAGGGCACACGGAGGGGACGCGCATCTGGACAACGGGAGACGCTGGGCGTCGCTCCCCGCGGTTGCTACCGTCCGCGTCCACGTGCTGGGAACCAAACCTCCCAACACCTCGGAGATAAACAGCGGCACCGGGAGACTGGCCGCGCCCACGGGGACGGGGGCCACGTGACCGACAGCTGCGACGAGACCAGGAGGGAAGGGGCGACCCTCGGTCCAGGCCCAGCGCCGGCCTGTGAACGTGGACCCGTCCATTGCTCACACCCGTAGAACTACACAGCGTGAGACATGGGCTGCTGTGGAAACGTAAGCGTTGACTTTTGTCCCCACCATCTGTGAGGATATAAAAGGAGGCAGGGAGAGCGCCCCCCACAGAACTGGCTATTGGCTCCTTCCCTACGGGTAGTAAAAGGGGCGTTATTGCTAAATGTGCTTTGTATTTGCATAGTAATGATGCCTACTGCATCTGGGAAGTACTGTTCCTTTAATACCACGTGGGCACGGTCAGGGGAGGTTAGGCTGGTGCCCAGGGATAAGGCTGTGTCGTCGGTGCAGCCGTCCGGGCCGGCGATGACGCGGTGGACGATCGCAGCACTGACCGCGCCACGGTCAGGCCCCCGGTCCTCTGAGTGGCCCAGGAGTTAGCGCGAAGGAAGGACACACGCACAGTCCACCTCCTCTTCCTCCCGCAGGAGGAGGGGCCCCGAGGATGCGGCGTCTCCACACACACGCCCCCACGTGCACCATAAAAAGTCTGTAAACTTCTCCGCAGTCTGATTTGGCCTTAACACAGGTACCGAGTGTAACAGCAACCACAGTGATTCCGTACCTGCTTGTGGGCAGTGACGCTGTCTGCCACGGCGCTGCGTTCTAGGGGACAGATCCACGCCGGGGGAGCTGGCGGCGTGCGTGCATGCGTGTGTGTGTGCGTGACGTGGCCTCACCACCCACGGTCCTGAGTACTGTGTTGCCTAGATACGGCGGGGGCAGGGGGAGCTCGAGACAGCCTCGTTCCCTGGACGGCAGACCGAGGTTCTTGGGCCGCTCTGTCTCCGCTTCAGGCCCTGAAAACGGCCGCCGTGGCCCCTCCAGGGGACAGTGAGGCACACGGCACTGGACCTCGCCTGCTGCTGGACACGGCGTCTGCAGGATGTCCTTGTGCACATGGCTCCCCAGGCAGACAGCTGAAGAGGAAGAGGGGAGGGACGGCTGCCCGAGGCTTGTGACTGGGATGAAGACGTCACCTTCCCTGTCACGTTCTGTGATGCTCAACAGGTAGTGGCAAGTGTTTCACAGACTCAGACTTTATGCTCAAAACATCTGTTAAACATTCCTGCAGCCGAGCCTGGACCACAGGATGCCCCCAAAGAACTTTCTGGTACCTTACGGTTCTCCGTCCGATAGATGCTAGTAAGGACAGCCGACGCCGCCGGCACCGGCGAGCACAGCCTGGCGCTTGGCTGCGGTTTTTGGGAGCGCAGGGCTTCCTCCGGCCTGACTGCTCATAAGCTGAGCCTGTGACGAAGGGCTGCTTCTGTCTACGGCGAGCATGTCAAACGCGTGGCCCGCGGGCCGCATGCCTCGTCTATTTGGCCCGTGTTCGCCTTTGAGTTTGACATGCTTGGTCTGTGGGGTTGACTGGCCGGATCTGGTCACTGGTCACATCTGAACATAGTTACGGTCCCCACAGGAAGTCCCGTCCGTCTGTCCGAACACAGAATCCCTGTGTGCGATTCCAGGGGAGGAGGCGAGGTGGGAACTGGCGTCGCTCCGGACAGCACCGGGGAGGGGGTGCAGGGCTTGGGCGCTTTCTTGAGAATCACCCTCTCGCAGCCTCAGGAAGGTGCGGAGGGCGGGCAGCCAGCGAGAGTGCGCTCCTGCCTGCTCCACAGCGCTCCTGGCCGCTGAGCTTAAGGCCACCTCTCAGCCCACACCTTACACCTCCTCTAGGAAACCCAGGTTCTCCCCAGGCGTCCTGACCAGCAGCCAGATCCTCCCGCTACCCCGGGCTTCGAGGGGCCGCCTTTCAGCTGTGCCAGGGCCCCGGAAGCCCCCCTTCTGGCCTGCAGGGGCCGGGTACCCCGGGGCCTCTGGAGCCCTGACCACAGCCTGGCCAGCTGGGGACTGCGCTCCCACGAGCCCCGGGCAGAAAGTCCCGTCCCCTCCACAGTCCCACCAGGCGTGGCCGCCCAGGTTCACTAAGCTGCGAGGAGCCAGGGGAACTCGGTGACGGTGACAGGCCCACGGCGCCTCGCACGGGACAGCCGCATAAATTAATAACTTACGAGGACCTGAGCCACAGCCCAGAGCACCGGGGCCGCGTCCCCAGACCGCGGTTCTCGACCCAAAGTCCAGGGGTTGGTACAAGGGCAACTCCACCGGAGCTGAACGTCGTGCAGACTGTCTCCGCGGGGAGGGGTCAGGCTTCTCACTTGGATGGGGCGGTGTGGGCGGGCCGGGGCGCGGGGGGTGGGCGCTTGGGAGCCGGTCTGCGTGGATAGAGGAGGAGGCAGAGTTACGTCGCTGTGAGAGTAGAGTTTAATTTGTACCAGCGGCAGGTGGGACACCTCCTCGCCCAGTTCCTGGGTGTATGATACTCTTGAACCCCGTGTGGCTGGCCCGGTGCCATGGTACCCGCCCAGCGTGAGCGCGCCAGGGTGGCGTCCCTGTCCTCCGGACGGTGTGCGGTGACCACGGCTGCAGGACGTCTCTAAGGTGAGTCCCCAGATGCTCCCTAAGCCAGGGTGGCCCCACCCACAGCTGGTTTAGCCTCACTCCTCATCGTCCCCTAGTTCATCTGACGCCCCCCCTTACTTCTCAGGACCCGGGCTGGCAGAGGCCACCGAGGGTTTGGGGGTGTGTGTCCAGCCCTCACAACATCGCGTCACGTGGTGGCTCTTCTATGTCTCCTGGGGGGACATGGCCTGTCTTACCAGCCGCAGCTCTGGGCCTGTCTAGTCTCCTGGGTGCCTGGGGCCCTGGCTTAGAGCGACATGGACACACGGTGACTACACGCTCACCTGGCCTCCTGGGGTTTTCCTGACCGCCCCCCCCACCCCCCCGCCGTGTGGGAGTGCAGGGAGCGTGGCCTAGACCCCCACGCCCTCCTGGTCCTGGAAATCAGGGCCTGATGTTACAGCCCCAGCGTGGGGGGGGGGGGGGAGAGAAGGCATGTCCCACACCAACCTGAGGGGTGCCAGGCGGAGCCCCGACTCCGGGCCTGGGGCGCTGGCGGGGGCGGGGGCGGGGGCGAGCCGGGCCGTCTTGCTCAGAGGCACTGCGGGCAGGGGCTTCTGAGGGGCGCTGGGCTTCCGGGTCCCCTGCAACAAACCACAAGTTGGGGTGTGACCCCTGCGCTGTGAGCGGCGACAGGACGCCGGCCCCTGGAAAGTGGGGCACGGAGAGGGCATGTCACCAGGAGGGGCAGGTCTTGGCTCCTGAGCACACTCCTCGGTACCACCCCTCACCTGCAGGGGGCGGCGGGGCTGCCCTCGGCTAACCTCGCCCTGGTTTTCTCCAGCTCTGAGTCCCCCACAGCATCTGGGGTTTGGCGGACGGGCGATGGCCGTGCGTCTGGGCCAGGGCCACCCGGTGGACCGCTCCTGTGTCTTCCCTCTCAGGCTGTCAAGACCCAGAAGGAGGCGCTGGCGGGATCTTTCTAAACATCACATTCGCCTCAGGTTCCAGCTGTGAGGCCTTCTCTCACGAAGGCGGGCGTCGCCCACGGGGCGGGTCCCGCGCCAGAGGCCGGTCCCGGTGTCGGGAGGCACCCGGGTTCCTCCTAAACCTCAGACCCAGGCCTCACGCTCACCGGAAGGTGAGCCAGGAAGGCCAGCCAGCCAGCTCCGGGCCATAAGCCACGGCAACGAACGCAGCTCCCGGCCCGCACGGGGCGGAACTCCACGCGGAGGTGCGGTGTGCGGCGTCGGAATGAACGTGAGCCCCATGAGCGGGAAGGCTCGAGGGTTAAATCACGGTGCCGGGCTGCCCGCTTTGCTCCCCGGCTGGACAAGTATCGAAAGATAGAGTCAGGCTCCACCGCGGCGCTGGCGGTGAGCGCTAGGTTAGGACGGATCGCAGGAGATTTGGTTTCATGACGGAAACTGGAGGTAACGGGGCGGGTGCTCCGTCCGGGTGACCTGGGCCCTCCCAGTGCCAGTTTATGGCTGTTTAGTTATCAGTCACTCTCTGATGTGTCCTGGTTTAGGGGCAAGTTACACGGCCGCCAGCGTGACAAAAGCCCAAATGGCGAGTTCTGACTCCCAACCCGGGGGTCAGCACAGCACCCGTCCAGCTCCCCCCGCCGCGCCCGGGGCAGGGCTCGCATGGAGCCAGCAAGCAGCTGATGCTCACAGAGGCCACTGGGGGGGCGGGGGGGATCCCGTTGCTGCCCGTGGGCCTGACGGGGTGGAGGGGGCCCTGGGTTAGCGGAGGCCGAGACCCCCTTGCGTCTCCGAGGGCAGCATGGAGGGGTGGGCCCCGGAAGCAGCGGACCTGGAGGGAGGGGTCGGCTCTCCAGGCCCCCGTAGGCACTGCTTTTCATGCCGCCCTCGCCAGGCCTCACCCTGCACTCTCCCAGGGAGGCCGGGCCAGCCTGGCCACAGGGGTCACCCGAAAGGCGGGAGAAGTGACCCAAGGCCAGGTTGCTCCACTCAGTAAATAGTCCCTTAGACCCATTTTCATTTTAAACAGGAAAAGGACTTCTGAGCCCCGTTCCCTCTCTTTCCAACGTCCAGGTCCTGGGGAAACGGAGGCCGCGGCTGGAGACAGAGCTGTCCAGTCTCCACCTCCCACCCCATCCCAGCAGGAGCTGCGTGTTTCAGATTTTATAGATTTGAAAACAGATCCCTCAATACGGGTACAGCCCTTTGCCTGGACCGCCAGCAAGAAGAATTCCCAACTGTTATCACTTCTGCGTGATAAGCGGGAGGCAAGCGCCCTGCGTATCCGGCCGGACCGCCACAGGGAGGGGTCCTCACAGGAGATGCTGGAGGCAGGCACCACAGCGGTGGCCGGGGGGCCGGGCTCTCACAGGCTCAGGGGCAGCGCAAGCCCCGCCCCTTCTCCCCACGCAGCCCCCCGCTGGCCCCGGGGGACACACACGTGGGGAGAACACCAAGGGCTGCTGGCTCTCAGAGAAAAGCCTCAGTTCTTCCTATTCTTTGTTCAGAAAAAGGGGGCTCTCGGCAGGTCTGCTCTCTTAACAGAGCGCCTACACCTCTCTGCACGAGGTCCCCGCCCTCTGAATAATTATAGACGCCAATGGGTTAACTCTGAAAGGAAGGAAACATCAATGGAGTTATTAAAAATCATGTGTGTACAGTTTTGGGGGCTCCCTATACATGTGAAAGGGACGTGGTGTCCAGCACTAGGGCGAGGAGAGACCAGAGGGCTGCCGGCTGTGGCCCCCCCCCCACCTCCTGGCAGAACGTGGAGGGAGCCCTCCATCCTTAGTGGAATGGGAGGGGGGCAAGCTGATAGCAGGATGGGTCAGGGATGACCAGGCGGCCCTGCAGACTGCCCAGCCATCTGTGCAAGCCTGGAGCCGGGGAGGGGGCCTGAAATCAGGGAAGGCCAGCCCCCCACCTCAAAGCCCTCTGCCCCTTGTTCCCCATGAGGCGGCACTTGGAGCTGGCCCCAGCACTGGCCTGGCCTCTCCCCTCCTCTCCCCTCCCTTAAACACAACCACAGAAAGAAGAAAGGAACCTGATAAATAAGAAAGCGAGCGAAGAGCCCCCCTGGGAAAATGTGCGCATGAGAACATGGAAAGGGAGGAAAGGGGAAGAGAAAACGAAACAGCGATGGAAACCGAGGGCCAGGATGAGACAGCCCGGCGAGGCCATGGGGTCCTGCCGGAAAGGCATCGGGGTGGGCAGCCAAGGACCCATAAAGACAAGAGGGCAGGGTACATGCACAAGTGGCATCACCTGCGGGTCTAAGCCAACAGTAACGACGGGAGAGAGACTCCGGGTTCATCTGCAGAGTCAGGTCCAGGGCTGGACGCTCAGGCAGCATCTCCGTGAGGGGAGCCGCCGAGAGGGAAGGAGCGGCCTGAGCTGCAGGCATCTGCCCAACGGTAAGACGTGGCCTAGTGGAGCCACTGGACGCCGGGACCCAGCTCCGTGAGCATTACCTGGAACCAAATAGGTCACCGCCGAGGAGCAAGCAAGTCACCAGGGCGGAGAGAGGAGTGTGAGCCATTAACTCTGTGCCCCAACTGCCCCTGGGAAAACAAAGCACCGGCCAAGTGTCCTTGAGCACGCAGGACGCGGCTGCTCTTCCCACGGCCTCCTGGGAGGAAGTCCACCCGCCGGGGCCGGGGCCGGGGCTGGGGCGGGCCCGCCAGGAGAGGTGGCCGGCAGGTGACAGCGAAACCAAGCTGTGGGAACTAGGGCTACACGGCACAATGCGACTGCGACCAACCACAGTCCCGCGGGAGTCGGGAGCGGGCTTCCCTTCCTGTTCACGTGGGCAGACCCACCGTCGCTCTGAAACCACTGAAAACGTGGGATAAAATACACTTAAATTTCCTCTTAAAAGAAGCTCAGGCCGGTATCTCAGTGAGAGGAGCAGCCAGAGAGGGAAGGAGCGGCCTGAGCCGCAGGCATTTGCCCCACGAGGGGCACCTGGGCTTGGGTTTCGATGCCCTTTTCAGGTGCGGGAAGCGGGAGTCCAAGGTCAACCCCGGCCCGGCTCATAGGCGACCTTTGCCCTCCTGACCTCTCCCCGTGACGCTGGGCTCTGCGTAGCCCAGGCCTCAGGCAGGAAGGTGCGGGAAGTGCCCAGTGCTGTTGCCCAGGAGCCAGCAGGAGGGATCCCCGGCACTGTGCAGAGCCAGGTGGGAAGATAAACCTGAGACTGCCAATAGCCCCTGAGGACCTGAAGCTAAAACCACGACACCTGGGGGGCCCCTGAACCCCGAGCCACTGGAAGGGGGCCAGGCGGCTTTGGGTCAGATGCAGGCCTGGTGAACGTGGTACTCGTCCTCCCCAACCTTCAGACTTTTCCTAAATTCCAACAAGCAGCACCTCTGGGCCCGGCACCCGGGCAGCCGCCTCGGTTCCAGCTCAGCCTCTCCCAGGCACCTCCGGGCCCGGCACCAGCGGCGACCATCTCCGGGTCACTGTAGCTCACACCGGGTGGCCCTGGGCTGGGCACAGGCAGCAGCTGACCTTGGCCTGCACCTCCCAGGAGGCCTTAGAACCAGCCCTCCCAGAGGCAGCTTCCGGCCACACTGGAGCAGCGCCTAGCCCAGGGGTGGGCAAACTTTTTGACTCGAGGGCCACAATGGGTTCTTAAACTGGACCGGAGGGCCGGAACAAAAGCATGGATGGAGTGTTTGTGTGAACTAATATAAATTCAAAGTAAACATCATTACATAAAAGGGTACGGTCTTCTTTTTCAATAGTTTTATTCATTTTCAAACGGGCCGGATCCGGCCCGCGGGCCGTAGTTTGCCCACGGCTGGCCTAGCCCGTGCACAAGGGCCCCAAAACAGTGCCCGCAGCAGGCAGCGGAGCCCGGACAGACGCTCCTGCCCGGCGGCTCCTGCATCGGGGTCACGGCCAGTCCTTACCGCTGTGGGGGGTGGGGGGGCAGGCAGACAGTCCTGAGCAGAGCAGGGACCATGGGCAGGTCCAGAAGGTCACCAGGGGGGCAAGCCCTGGGAGCCCAGCAACGGACACTTGTAGGTGGGACCTGGTCCCCAGGGTGGCCTTCCTCCCCTCGTACATCCTGGAATAATGTATTTCAGCTCCAGGCCTAGAAAAGCAATAAAACCAGCCACTGCTGACATCAGGACCAGCTGCCTGGAATAATGACCCCTGCCCTGATGCCGCCAATCAATCAGTGGGGACCCTGACCCTGAAAGGCCACACCTGGAAAGCTGCGGAACGTTCTATTGAGATCTTCCCCCGGGGCCTCCCTAATACCTCCCCCTTAAAGCCCTCAGGACGAGGACCCAGTGCGCTCCCCATCCTGGGAGCACACCTGTGCCTCCCTTCCTCCCGCCCCCTCCCCCCAGGCCCATACCTTTACCTTCCTCCTCCCGACCTCCCCGAGGGCCCTTCCTCTACCTCTGGAACTTGTTTCCTAAGCCCATTGCTTCTAGGAATGGCTGCTACCTCCGTGATAAATAAATGTTCTCTTACTGTTTGAGTCTTGGCTCTGAATTCTTTCCTCGCCAGAAGTCAAGTGCAGGGAGGTTCCTGAACCCAGGTCCGGGCTGACCCTATGGGTCAGATACCTGCTGCCGTTCCCACCGCCCCCAACACTCCCACAGCCACATCAACATGACAGCTACAGACCCACCAGCATTCAGAACCGCCTGCCTCTAGGAGACCGTCCTGCCTCTCAGGATCTAAGGCAGCAGCCGGCGAGCCTGGCAGGAGGGGCAGCGGCTCAGGAGGGGCGAGTCCCACGCCCACCTGTGGCAGACAGAAACCCAGAGGCCTATCTCGGAGGTGGAGGAACGAGGGGCCGCAGCCCCACACCTGGCCCCTCAGCCCAGGGCTCCAATGCTGAGAAAAGAAGTCCTTGTAACTTGGGCTGTAAAAACCAGCAGGATTGAGGCTAAGGGGGACAGAGGCTGCTGGAGTCCCAGGCAGTTCCTTTTAAAGGGCCAGTGCGTAGACTTATTCAGACTCAGTCCCTCTGAGCTCCAGTGCGATGGTAGCAGCTCAAATGTGCCAGGAACATAGGAGCAGGGACTGAATGATCTGGATCAGGGTGAGGGCTGGGGGCGGGGCGGGGGGGGGCAGCTTTCTCCCAGACAGAAGTGCTGGCCGAGGCCCGTTTCCTTGCTGAGGCCCCCCCCCCCCCCCCCCCGAGGCGGCAGGATAGCTGAGTCTCCACCAACCTGGCTCACACTGCTCACCCGCCCGGCAAACTCTGAGACCCTGCCCCGCAGATCCACAGGCGATGCTGGACGACTCACGCGGTCGGCGAGAAAAGCAAACAGGGTCCCCCCCCCCCCCCCCGTGTCACGCACGGGAATGAACAGCGGGGGGAGCGGGTGCGTCCATGTGAAAAGTCATGGACGCGGAGAAATGGAAACGCGTGCCCCTCCGGTGGGCGGGCCTTTCCAAACACGGGCACAAGCGACGGCGGTGGAGGAGGAGGACGAAGAGACAGACCTCCGGCCTGCGACCGGTGCTCCCCAGGCACAGGGAGGAAAAGCGGACGCCATTCTGTGTCCAACCTAGCGTGTCGGCCAAGAGAAGAGCGTCTCTGGACAGAGACGGGGGAGGGGGGTGGCAGGGGGAGGGAGGGAGGACGAAGACACGGGGGCAGAAACGGGACCGCTCCTTCGGGCAGTGCTGCCGCACCCGCCAAATCGCTATGGGCACCCACAGTGGGTCCCGGAGGGGACCATGCCGTCCTCCTGACGCACTGAGTTCCTCCTGCTGAAGACTTTGAAAATCCTTACATCACAAGGATAAAGCCCACACTCAAAGCGTGCGCACACACACGCACACACACGCGCGCACACACATGCACACACAAGCCCCCCCCCCCCCCGCCATGCCATTGCTGGCTTCCTGAAACTTCTGCAGCGCAGACAAGCTGGGCCAGAAGCAGGCTGGCAGGTTCTCACGGTCTATCGGCCCTTCCAGGAAACCACTCGCTTCAGCAAAGATCAACCTGGGATCCGCCATCGCCTGCTTTTTCTCGCTTCCTTATTGTTCTACTGATGGAGCTAATCTGACCGGGACTCCCCGCAGCCAGTGAGTCCGGTCCTGCTCGCCGATAAGCCTGCGGAGGAAACGCCACTTCCTCGCATTCTCCAGGGAACCCGGGCGCCGGACAATGAGGGCGCCCCCAGCTCCGCGTGCAGCCCAGCCCGCAGCCCAGGGCAGGCAGCGGTGCCAGCGCACGGGCCAGCGCCGAGTGCACGCCCCTCCCCCAACCCCAGTCTGAGCAGATAATTGCATTTCGATCGGCAGCTTCCCAGGCGGCTCCTCCAGATGTAGTTTTCTCTGAGCAGAGAAGCCCGTCTGAGCGGCGGCCCAGCGCGTGCTTTCAGAGTAAAAAGATGAAAAAAAGCCAGACCTTGCAAACACTCATCAAAAGGAAACGAACGTAGATAGGATAACATGAAATAAAGCAGCTTTTAGAACAAAAATGACAGCGGAATGGTTGTAAAATGGTAACGTTTAAGACATCTACATCACAAAGGCAGAACCTAAAAGGTACAGTTCTCACATTCCGCTTGAAGGGATAAAATATTGGTACTAGTAGACGGTGATAAGTTATGTGCAAACACAGTGATCCTTAGAGCAGCAGTTCCAACCAGGGGTGCTTTTGGCACAAAATATAGTCCCGGAGCTAACGAGGGACATCACGTAACGATACAAGGGCCCGTTCACCAAGAAGAGACAACACCGAACGAACAGTGTGTATCACAAACTACAGAGTTCAAACATTCATGAAGGAAAACCACATGGACTAAAAGGGGACACATTTATTGTCGGAAACCAGCGTCCCTTCAGCAACTGATAAAACCGGCAGACCAAAAAAAAAAAAAAAAAGAGAGAAATATTTTGTTTTGTGAATCATTTTGGCAAAACTTTGAAATGTTAATAGCACTAGCAAAGTTATGGTGAGACACATTGAGACCGATGGGCTATAATAATGGGATATAAATGAATACGAAAGTCCTGAAAAATATTTAATTTATATGTTAAGAAGCTTAGAATGTTTATGCCATGTTTCAACGCAATATTTTCACTTTTAGGAAGCTCTCCTGAGGGTATAAGGTGGGCCAAAACGTATCTGTCTAGACCCGTGGTCGGCAAACCGTGGCTCGCGAGCCACATGCGGCTCTTTGGCCCCTTCAGTGTGGCTCTTCCACAAAATACCACGTGCGGGCGCACACGTACAGTGCGATTGAAACTTCGTGGCCCATGCGCAGAAGTCGGTATTTTGTGGAAGAGCCGGTATTTTGTGGAAGAGCCACACTGAAGGGGCCAAAGAGCCGCATGTGGCTCGCGAGCCGCAGTTTGCCGAGCCGCAGTTTGCCGACCACTGGTCTGGACCGTCATAGCAGAGCTACTTACAACAGCAAAATTAGAGCATCCAGACGTGCCCACTAATTGTCAAGTACTTAAAAGCATACGCTGTATCTACATGTCATGCTGTCATTAGGATAACGCCTCTTAAAAGAATTTTTAATGCCTTGGTAAATGTGACTGACTTTAAGGCAAAGAAGTAGTACCTAAAGCAATGTACACACAAAATAACCAAAATCATGTTAAAAATGCACGCGTAAGGACAGACAGACACAAAGTCACTGGACCATGGCAGGGAGAGCCACGGGACGTTGCCAGGGACGGTCTCTTTGTGCTTTTCATCGGCTTGTTTTTGCTCCGCCCGCCCCCCCAGGTTTCCTGTGGCGGGTGATGTCACGTTCACGGTCAGAGCAAACAGAGACTGTTCCTTCCAAAACCAGCGTGGGAATGAGACGATACACGCAAAGCGTCGCATACGGTGCTGCGTCTGGTGGGGGGAGGCTCAGCCGGTGGCGAGATTTTTGTAAACAATTTTGAAAATGAACGATAGCAACACAGTACCCCACAACTGTCCTCCAAGCGCCGCCTCTGTCTCACGTCCAGGCCTCGTGATGAAAGGGTCCCTGCCCTCCTCAGAGGCGTCACGGTTACGGCCAGCACCGCACGGGCACCCTCCCTCCCCTGGCGATAAACGTCTCGCCAACATCACTAGAGGGTGTCGCTCCACCACTGTCCCCGGGGCTGTGCTCAGGGCTTACAGGTGGGGAGCCTGCTTCTTGCCGAGGGCCACGGGGACATTTACCCCATCACCCACGGGCCACACAAAACGATCAACGTAAAAACTCCCTGCTGGCCCTAAACTGTTCTGCTCAGTGCATAGAGTCCCAGGTTCGATTCCGGTTGAGGGCATGTACCTTGGTTGCGGGCACATCCCCAGTGGGGGGTGTGCAGGAGGCAGCAGATCGATGTTTCTAACTCTCTATCCCTCTCCCGTCCTCTCTGTAAAAAGTCAATAAAATATATTTAAAAACAAAAAAACAAAAACTACCTGCTGTATTTGGTCAAATATTTCATTAACTCACCCCTAAGGCCTTGGCAGGGCCAGACCACATGATTTTGTGGGGCTAACACGGCCCGCGGGCCAGACGTTCCCCACCCCTGCTGCGTGACCATCACACTTAACCACTCAAGGAGCTCGGAGAGGCACGAAAAGCAAAGCAACTTGTCCAAGTTCAGACGCGACCAAGCCTCAGAGCCTGGGCACCCATCAAGGTAGCAGCGGAGGGCGTACCTGGGCCTGCCTGAGGGCAGGGGTGGCCGGCAGGGGTCTGGCAGGGACGCTGGGCGTGCGGGGCGCCTGGTGGAGGGTCGGGAGCACTCGCTGCGGGGACGGGGGCCGGGGGCGGCCCAGGGCCTGCAGGGGCCTGCTGATGGCAACGTTCTGACACTGCGGCGGCCTCTTGGGGTTGTCCTGCGGGGTCAGAGCAACAGCCATGATACACGGGTCTCAGGAGTGGATGTGATTCCCGCCCTGGCCAGGGGCTCGGGGCAGAGTGTCGGCCCCTGCACCAGGGTCTTGGGTTTGAATCCCGGACAAGGGCATATACCTGGTTGCAGGCTAGATCCCTGGCCCCCAGTCAGGGGTGGGTGTGGGAGGCAACCAATCAATGTGTGTCTCTCACATTGATCTCTTTCTCTCCTCCTCCTCTTCTTCCTCCCTCCCTCCCTCCATCCCTCCTTCCCTCCCTCCCTTCCACTTTCTTAAAAAATCAATGGAAAAAATACCCTTGGATGAGGATTAACAAAAAAGTGTGCGATTCCTTAAGGAAAAAGCAGCGCCTGCAAGTCTGCCACCACCACGGGGGAGGGGGGTGTGGTAAGGGACAGAAATCAAGGAGGTCCTGAGAGGGTGTCTGGGATTAGTGATTTATACCCTCCCCCCCGACCCCCCGATACTCTGGAAAGAGAGTCCCCTTCGGGGTGGATTTTAAAGGGCTGGTTTGATTAACAAACAGCTTCGAGACACCCGACGAAGTGCCAGCATGAAGGCCCGGGTCAGACCCGAGGGCACAGAAGGAGCCATGAAAATAAGACACAGCTCAGTGCCCGAGGCGGCGAGAGCCCAGGACATGTGCTGGGCAGCGGCGTGGAGGTGTCCGGAGGCCGGGGCTGAGGTCAGCCCAACCCCCCCCCCCGCCCCCCCCCAGCCCTCGCCGGAGGGCGGGGCTCTGAGTGGTGCCGGGTCTCAATGACCGATGAGGACAGATGGACAGACGCAGCTCAAGGCTGTGCCTCGGCCCCCTGCCCGCCCTCCCTCCCTCTTGCCTTCCTTTCTTTCTATAAACAGCTTTCCCGAGGTACACTTGACACGTGATTAATTGCATTTATTTAAAACGCGCAATTTGGTAAAAATTGACATATGTCCACACTCATGCAACCATCACAGAAGTGAGATAATGAACACATCCATCACCCAAGAGACCCGCCCCCCCCCCCCCCCCCCCCCCCCCCCCGTAACCAGGACCTGCTTTCTGTCACTGTGAGTGAGCCCGCGTTTTCTAGACTTTCCTACAAATGGCACCACGAGCCACACTCTGCCTGGCCCGGCTTCTTTCCCTCGGCCTCACTATCTCGAGGGCCATCACGCTGTGTGTCAGTGGTTCCTCCTCCTCACCGCCGAGCCCAAGTCCCCGTGTGCACACACCACAGCTGCTCCCCTCCCCTGGCCCCCAGGGCCTTGTAGAGCTTCCGTGGGGCACAGCAAGCCCCCTCCGGCCCCTGCCACCACCTCAGGGGCCTTTGCTGAACTGAGTGCTGGCTCAGCATTGCACAGGGGACCCAGGCCTCAGAGCCTCACCCTCACCTGCACCGGGAACCCCAGGGCCTCAGAGCCCCATCCTCACCTGGACTGGGGACCCAGGGCCTCAGAGCCTCACCCTCACTTGCACCGGGAACCCCAGGGCCTCAGAGCCCCATCCTCACCTGGACTGGGGACCCAGGGCCTCAGAGCCTCACCCTCACCTGCACCGGGAACCCCAGGGCCTCAGAGCCCCATCCTCACCTGGACTGGGGACCCAGGGCCTCAGAGCCTCACCCTCACTTGCAGCAGGAACCCCAGGGCCTCAGAGCCTCACCCTCACCTGGACTGGGGACCCAGGGCCTCAGAGCCGCGCCCTCCCTGTGCACCACTCACCGTGGCTGAGCTGGACGGCGCTGGCTTCCTCATCACACCTTGGCTGAGGGGCGCGAGGGGGGCCTGGCTGGGCTGGCAGCCGCCGGGGGGCCGGGCCGGGCGCACGCACCTGCAACACAGCGCACACCTGCTCACCAGGCGCCCTCCCAGCGGCCGCCTCAGCTTTCCCGCTTTGTTCACCACGGTACTCACACAAGTTACTGACGTTTTAAAGTCCGCGTGGGTGAGCATGCAAAGGTAACATTACCCAACGCTCTTGCAAGATTCAACAAGAAATACCGATTTCTCTCCCCAGAGCCCCTGCCGATCCTGTTAAATGAGTTCTCCAAGCCAGGCTCGCGGCGTGGTGCCCTGGGGGACGCTCGGGACAAAGGGCGTTTCCGCGGCGCGGCCTGAACACGTGTGAATCGAACCCCTGATGAGAGCACTGACACCCCGCGCCTTAGAGAGACTAACGCCAGGTGGGGGACCCCTGGGCGAGACTCCGGCCGCCTGCCTGTCTGTCATAGCGCGGAGGGTGTGAGGGCGCGAGGAGGAGGCAGTGGGCCTGGCGGACACGTGAGAAAACCCCACCGTCTGCTCTCCGCAGAGGCCACCTCCTCTTCGCTAGAGGACGCGGCGAGGGCAGCGGCCTGCACGCCCTTGACCCCCTTCCCCCCCATCCCCCCGCTCTCCATACCTTAGCTTCTCAAGGGTCTTCTTGTCTGTAAACAGCAGTCGGACCAGCGTCTTCCTTTTGAGATAAACCGCAAGTCCGGCCGCGAGGAGACACAGGATGCTGGCCAGGACGCCGGCCGTGAGGCCGCGGTGACCTGGAACAACACCGTTCACTCAGGGGCGGAGGCGGCCGCCGGGAACCAGGCAACACCGAACTGGGACCACGACAGCCAGGCGGCCGCAAGGGAAGGACCGGGAGGAGACGGCAGCCCGAGGGATGCTCAGAGGCCGCGCGCGGTTCGGGCTGCGAGGGGTCACTGCTGACCGCAGCGCTGGCCCCGGGCCCGCGGCAGGAGGGCAGCAGGGAAGCGGGGCCGCAGGGAGCCGGCGCTGAAGGCCCCGGACGGAGTCCTCTCCAGCCCTCACACACGGGCCACCCGGCTCCCGCCTCCTCACCCGTCAGGGTGGAGTCGGTTTCGCTTTATTGTCGTGTTTCTTCAGAATAAGACTCCTTATGCCTGGATAGTGCCCATTAGAAGATGAACACAAAAAAGGGAAGCGAGACCTCACAGCTGAAGGAGAGGCGACGGGTGCGCTTTGCTACATCAGGGACAGAGGGCCCAGCTCTGGGCAAACCTTGTTCTGGGAGGATGCGGCTTACGGTCTCCATGGAAACGCCCCTCTCCTGTCATCTGACCCATGTTGTTTAGTGCCGGGTGGACCCCCGGTGCCGGGGTCAGAGCAGCTTTAGCTGCACTTCAGCTGCACAGAGCTCCCTGGGAGCACAGGTCTCCGTCACAGCCCTTGGGCTGCTCTCCCAGAAACGGTGAGGTGGGCTGCACACAGTAGGTGTGAGGTGGGCTGCACACAGTAGGTGTGAGGTGGGCTGCACACAGGAGGTATGAGGTGGGCTGCACACAGGAGGTGTGAGGTGGGCTGCACACAGTAGGTGTGAGGGGGGCTGCACAGAGTAGGTGTGAGGTGGGCAGCACACAGTAGGTGTGAGGTGGGCTGCACAGAGTAGGTGTGAGGTGGGCAGCACACAGTAGGTGTGAGGGGGGCTGCACAGAGTAGGTGTGAGGTGGGCTGCACACAGTAGGTGTGAGGTGGGCTGCACACAGTAGGTGTGGGGTGGGCTTCACACAGGAGGTGTGGGGTGGGCTGCACACAGGTGTGAGATGGGCAGCACACAGTAGGTGTGAGGGGGGCTGCACACAGTAGGTGTGAGGTGGGCAGCACACAGTAGGTGTGAGGGGGGCTGCACAGAGTAGGTGTGAGGGGGGCTGCACACAGTAGGTGCGGGGTGGGCTGCACACAGTAGGTGTGAGGTGGGCTGCACACAGTAGGTGTGGGGTGGGCTGCACACAGTAGGTGCACGGCCGCCCTTTCTGGCTGCTGGTGGTGGAGGTGACTTGCACCCAGGCTGCCGCCCTGCCTCCGCTGGGAGCTCACTGGCTGCAGCCCAGAGCAGGGCTCCTATCACGGGGGGAACCCCTTGCCCTCTCGCCCCCTCGCTGCCTCTGGACTTCGTCTCGGCCGACACGTCCTATCAGACCTGTCTGGGGCCGAGGAAGCAATCAGCAGTGGCGTCCGACTCATTTGTTAGTGTCACTGGAACCTTTGCTTCTGGTCTCCTGGCCAAACCGTCCTCCTCTGCAGGCGCGAGCGGCCGCCGCCGGGCTCTGGGCCAGTTCCGCTGTCTCCTCGTGAAGCCGATTTCAAAGGGAGCAGCCGGAGCCTGAAGCATCGTTTTCATCCCCCAAACCCTCCCCTGAGACTTAGACGACCCTCCTCGCCGGGGCCCCCACGCTGCACAGGGCGCACCCCGGCCTCCTGTCCCCGTGCACCGGCTGCTCAAGCCACACGCCAGGGACAGCTCGGCTGTCCCCAGTTCTGTTCTTTGTTATGGGCGGGGCCACAACATTAGTAACAAAGAAACAGAATTTCCGGAGGATGAGGCCCAGAAATCAGGATTTTAGAAAGATTCCCAGGTGCTTCTGATGTGCAGCCAAGGTTGAGAACCGCTGTAGTAGAGTCTCAGAGGCCGTTACACGCCCCCTCCTGGCCCGGAGCCTGGGGCGGCCTGCACAGAGTCCTTCGATGGGGCCTGAGGTGCAGACCCACTTGGCCGTCCGCTGTAGCGTCACCTCAGCTAAAAAAGCATCGCAGGCTACAAACTGGCAAACTCAGCCCCTGGCCAGAGCAGCGCGAGGGGTCCCCGGAAAGACCGGTGAGGGAATTTGGGAACAGAGAGAGGCCTCGGGCTGTGTCAGGCCCACGCGGAGTCCCCACTGGGGTTCCTGCTCCCGGGGGGCTGCACCTGCACCCACGCCGACGGCTGGCGAGCCCGTCTTCCTGGGAAAGACCTCTCCGCCCCGGCTCCCCTTGCCCCTCTCCCCTGGGTGCGCCGTCCCCACACACCTGCTTGCCGGATGGGGCCGCTGTCTGTGCTTCCTCCGAAGCCGACCTTGTCGCAGAAGGGGGGCGCCCAGTGGGCCTCGCAGTGGCAGTTCTTCCTGTTGTTGCACACCTGTGGGGGCAGTCGTGGGGCGGGGGCGGGGGGGGAGGAGCAGAGTTAGGGTGCACCGTCCCCTGGGGCAGAGGTTGGCCTCTGAGCCCTCACTGGGCGCCGTGGCCAAGCAAAGGCCCTGAGGTCAGAGCCCCCTCAGCCCCCATAGAGCCAGACTCAGTGAGTGTCACCGTGAGGACAAGCCCACGGCCCAGCACCACACGGGCGGCGGGGCCCCAGGCTGCACGTGGCCACGGCCCGCCTGTCAGCAGCTGTCGGAGGACCATGGGGGCAGTCAGGGCTCCCCCTCTGCCTCCCACGGCTCCTCAGGCTCCCAGGCCTCCTCTTTTTCTATTAAAACATGTTTTTATGGGTTTCAGAGAGAGGAAGGGAGAGGGAGAGAGAGAAACATCGGTCGGCTGCCTCCTGCACGTTCCCTGTTGGGGATGGAGCCCGCGACCCGGGCACTTCCCACCGACAGCTGCACCCCCAGGGAGGTGGCCCTGCCCTCCTCTGAGGTCACAGCACAACCCCATCACTCTTGTTAGAATCACTGGCGAGGGTCTGCAGGTTTTAAAAATAGGATTTGGAGCATGATTTCTGCAGAAAAGGTTTCAGAAAGACAAACGTGCCCTGGCACGTCGAGATGAACATGGTTCCACTGGAAACGATGAATCCCTCAGGAAAATAAACCACGTTTTAAACAATTAGCGTCCCCTTCTCCCCCAGAGACTCTCTGGACTGAGACAACAGGCTGCTCCGTCGAAACCCACCGTGTGGGACCTCGAGGACACGGGGTGGGTTCTGTCCCCTGTGTCTGAATCCCTTTCAGAGGAGTCTCAGCTCAGACACACCTGCCAAGTCGCGGTGGTTAAAGGAATGGCTCTGTTTGACATGTTGTTGGAAAACTCTTCAGGAAGGAAGGTTAGGGTTATGACCACTTTAAGATGACAAAGTCCTTTTCGTAAAAAAAAAATAAAAATCACAGAATGTTCATTTGAAAGTGAATGGTGTCTCCATTGGATTTTTTGTTAAATAAGAATCCCGTTTGTACAAAAAGGTCACAGAAAATGAATGTCTTTAGAAGAACGCATTGAGAAGACACTGCTATGTTTTTAAGAAGTTATGGACTGCAGCCCGGCTGGTGTTGCTCAGTGGTTAGGCATTGACCTATGAACCAGGAGGTCACGGTTCGATTCCCGGTCAGGGCACAGGCCCGGGTTGCGGGCTCGGTCCCCAGTGCGGGGCGTGCAGGAGGCAGCTGACCAATGAGTCTCTCTCATCACTGATGTTTCTCTCTCTCTCTTTCTCCCTTCTTCTCTGAAATCAATAAAAATATATTTTATAAAAAGTTACTATTGCCAACACCTTTACAAATGAATGAGCTGGCGCTTAGCGTGGATGGCGGGCTGGGAGGGGCACCGTGTACTCACCCCTCGGCCGTGGCACTGCCTCGCACACTCGTGCACACCAAACACGCTGATGTTTTGACACCGACGATTGAGGCAAATCTGAGGAGGAAACAGAGAGCAGGCATCTCAGTCCTTCTGCCGGCACACGCTTCCTGTCTGCGGGTTCACACGCTTCCTGTCTGCGGGTTCACACGCTTCCTGTCTGCGGGTTCACACGCTTCCTGTCTGCGGGTTCACACGCTTCCTGTCTGCGGGTTCACACGCTTCCTGTCTGCGGGTTCACACGCTTCCTGTCTGCGGGTTCACACGCTTCCTGTCTGCGGGTTCACACGCTTCCTGTCTGTGGGTTCACAACTGGAAAGCAGGGGACGTTTGGGGACGACGGTCCCGCCGTGAATATGGGTGCGTGTCTCCTGTGACACAGACTCGGGTCCTGATGCCGCCCCCATGCTCAGCACAGGCCGGGACTCGGGTCCATGGGACACTGTTGCGTCCCTTCACACGTGGATGGCATTTTACGTGCTTTCGGCCAGTCCTGGAAGGACGCTGATTCCCTCGTGGTTTTGTTTAGCGCTTGCCATCACACCTACGTATTGCGGCGTTTATTTCTTCTCCATTAAAAGACATGAGAGCCAAAACCGGGTTGGCTCAGTGGATAGAGCGTCGGCCTGCGGACTGAAAGGTCCCAGGTTCGATTCCGGTCAAGCGCATGTACCTGGGTTGCGGGCACATCCCCAGTAGGAGCTGTGCAGGAGGCGGCTGATCTATGTGTCTCTCTCATCAATGTTTCTAACTCTCTATCTCTCTCCCTTCCTCTCTGTAAAAAATCAATAAAATATTAAAATATATTTTAAAAAAAAGACACGAGAGCGGGAGAAACGGACGAGTTCCCGCCCCGGGGCCTGTGTAGACTCTGAGACACGAATACAGGGTCCGGGATCTTTTAAGGGAGATAGCGAAATATGGGCGCTCTCCCAACGTACCGACTGACCGCGCTATCGCCGCAGACGTGCCCAGCGGGGGGAGCCAGGCGGCCGGTCCCTCCCGCTTACGGGGCCTCCGCAGGGCAGCCTTCGCCGAGTGACACGGGGCTGGTTCAGAGAGTTTCGAGTTTGGTTTCATTTCAGAGACGCAGAACATACTCCAGACTCAAGGGATCAGGAGGCCCCGAGCGCCCATGAGCTGCTACAATACAGCGGAGTCAAAGGGAGGACAGTCTAGCCCAGTGACGGCGAACCTTCTGAGCTCGGCGTGTCAGCGTTTTGAAAAACCCTAACTTAACTCTGGTGCCGTGTCACATATAGAAATTGTTTGATATTTGCAACCACAGTAAAACAAAGACTTATATTTTTGGTATTTATTTTAGATATTTAAATGCCACTTAACAAAGAAAAATCAACCAAAAAAATGAGTTCACGTGTCACCTCTGACACGCGAGTCATAGGTTCGCCATCACTGGTCTAACTCTTGGACCCCAGGGGCACTTTTTAACCACGTGGGACCTTCCTACGGGAAGCCCACCGTCTGATCCCAGCTGCTCGTGAGGCCCAGTTCGCGCAGCTCGGAGGCTGGCGGTAACCTTGGCCCAGGGGACTGTCCCATTGCGGCTGATAAAGGAAACTGAGCTGCAGCCAACACACCAGGCCCCGGTGGAATCTCCACGCTGCTCTGCTCTCCTCCGAACCCACGCGCCAGGCTGCGCAGGGTGGCGCCCGCGCTCCCAGAAGCGGAGGCCACGCCCGTTTATTACCGTGGCGCGTGGAGGAAACGCTCATTGGCAAACCCAGTCCCCGCAGCCAGGGCTCAGGTGTCGTCCTGGCGTCGCGGCCTGGGTGTGCGTGAGCTAACCGCGGCGAAGGGGACGTCGGTGTGTACGCCAGGGGTCCCGTGGGTGCTGGCCCCGGGGGACGCTCTGGTTCAGGCCGCGGGAGGGAGGGTGAGGGAGGGAGTTTCTGCCCTCGGAGTCCTGTCTATTCCGTGACCTCCGTGGGAGCGGTTTCACAATCACTTTGAAAATGGGCCCTAAAACAGCACGAGGGGTTGACTCGTCTTCGTTCCTAGGACATTTCATTCACTTGCTATCATTTATGTGAGGAGGTCTGTCTCAGGAGAAAAATCAATGTGGCGGAAGGTGAATGTCCCAATTTCTTTCTTTTTTTATAATTTAAATTTTGGACTTTATTTCTCAATCCTGAAATATCTCGGTCTACCTTTCTCCCTGGTCTCCAAAGAACCCTCTTTCTGCCTCAGTGTCTCCTAAATCCCAGGTGTAGAATGACTTGGTGACACCGAAGGGCCCAGAACACAAGCTGCCTCTCGGTGGCCGGCCGGGACCTAGGATTTACTGACTTCCTCTTCCAGGTGCAAAGACCTGGGTTCCGCAGGCCAAGGCCCGAGAGGGCGGGGCTTTGGGAAACACACACCCTGTGCCCGGTCCTTGGATATGACATGTCCCAGGGCCCCGTCCAGACTCACGGGGACGACGCCGGCATCGCACTCTGGGCTCTTACTTTTCCGTCCGCGCACTTGGTGCCGGCCAGCACCAGCCCCGGGTCCGGCATGTCGTCGCCCAGGTACACGTGGGTCCCGCGGCACAGGACCCGGCCCCCTTCCTGCAGGGGGATGTTCGTTTCTATGGAGACGGCGTTGGTGCCAATGACCGGCCGGCTGGCACCCCCTTGGCACTGGATCTTCCCGCACTTGGCGTCCCTGGAAGGAAGGGCAGAGCAGACAGGCCCCGGGGGGGTTGGAAGGGGCCGAGGCCGGGCCCGCGGTCGCACGCTGCGGGGGGGTGGGGGGGTGGGGGGAGGGGGGGTGCAGGGTCCGCACCTCGTCTCGCACTTGGCGAAGGAGCTCTTGGCGTCTTTGCCGCAGTTGCCGTAGGGGTCGCCTGCCGAGTTGACTCTCTCAAAGCAGATCCCGGGGGCGGGCTTCGCGCCTGCAAGGGAAGCAGAGCAGCCGTCAGGCCGCACGCGGCTCCGCATTTCCCCGGAACCGCTCTGGGCGTTCGGGTTCGGGGAGAAGTGCTCCGTCCGGAGGACTCGCCCCGCGGTCCCGGCCGACCCCTGACGGCCGCTGGCACCTCGCCTGCTCCTGGCCAGGCACACGTTTCCCGCTCAGGGAACGAGGCCTGGCCGTGGGGCCAGACCCAGGGAGCACAGGAAGGAGGTGGCTGCCGGCAAGAAGTGGGGGGCTGGTGCGCCCTGGCATCACCCCACAGCTCTCTGAGACCACACGAGCTCCAGCAGGTTCCACCGAGTGGCGACGGCTTGTGTGGGGAAGCCGGCATCTCACACTCGCTTCAGCCCCGTACAGGCCCCCCCCCCTCAGCACCCCCCTCCCCCCAGTTCGCAGGGCAGATTCACGCCTCTCAGAGGCCGTGCAGAGACTGACGGTGCCCAGCAGAGAGGCACCCTGCAGGAGCCCCAGGGCTCGGGAATGGCCGATTTCAGCACACAGTCCGGCCAGGGACCCGGAGGGCATATGCTTGGGTGTGCGATGCCCAAGCCGGAGGGCTCCCACATCCTAGGCCGGGTGACAGCTGTGTGGCTGCATGAGAAATTCAGGAAACATCCCACATTCTTCCTCTCACACTGTGCGCTGCGTGCGACCAGGCCGCCCCTCCACCTGGTGTCGTGGGCGGTGCTTCCCTCACCTCCCTTCCGGCTGCGGTGCCAGCGCCCCAGCCCCCAGCCCCCAGCTCCGCCCTTGTCTGTCTCCTCCCCCGATCCGCGGGCTTAACAGCAACCCCCGAGGGGCAAGGCTCCCCTCCCAGGGAACAGGTGGGCGCTCTTATTACTGAAAACGTCCGTCCGTCCTCCTTCCACGGCACCCGACCCCTCTTCTCCAGCTGCGAGCAGAGCCATCAGCAGCTCATGAAAACAAAGAAGCAGACAGACACATCGAACCCAAGCCGACCGGCCACCGCTCAGACCAGCACTGGGCGCGCCGGGCCTCCCGCTCCGCTCCCGTCTCTATTTCTAAACCACGCAGAGGCCTCCCCACACTCCCCTTTAAGGCAGGCGTCCCCCCAAACCCGATACAACCCCTGGAAAGAGGCAGGGTCGCACTTGGATCATTTCCTCCTCACACACGGGACCAAAGGGAGACTTTCCTGACTTCGAAACAGTGAGGCTCTTGGAAAACCGTCTCGTCTCCCATCTGCGGCCGCTGCAGGTGAGAGGACGAGGAGAAGTCCTGCCCGCAGGACCGTGGTCACAGACTCACCAAGGCCGGCCTCGCGGACACACCGCTCACCAGCCGCACCATCGCCCGGCAGCGCACGCTGCGTTAGGCCGGGGACCCCGGGCTCTGGGGGGGACACAGGAGATGAAGCGCACGCACTCGGGGCCTTGTCTGCTGCCCATCGTCTGTGGCTGTAGCCATGATGTTATCCGTGATGTGTTTTCCAAGTGCCACCAGGCCGGCGGGGCTCAGTGGGTGAGCCTCGACCTATGAATCAGGAGGTCAGGGTTCGGTTCCTGGTCAGGGCACTTGCCTGGGACGCTGGCTCGATCCCCAGTGTGGGGCGTGCAGGAGGCACCTGATCGATGATTCTCTCTCACTCTCCCTCTCTTTTCCTCTCTGAAATAAATAAAAATATATTTTTTAAAAAAGCATTTCCAAGTGCTGTTTTCGTGCTGGTGGCACAGATAAACCACTGGCAAAAGTACATTTTCTGCCGGAAGACACCATCCGGCTGTTTTTCCGGGCGGACAAAGGTCATGTCGCACCGACAGGACGTCTCTGTGGCTGCGAAGTGGAGCTGGACAAGGACAGCTCAGCCCAGGGCACACTCCCAGCTGCTGAGGACACCACGTGTGTGACGTCGAGATAAAGCCCTGAGACACGGGGTTAGCGGGAGAAAAAGCAGCGAGAAAACAGGTTCTCAGCTCCTGCCCAACGACATCGTCATCAACAACAATAATTTGAAAAACAAAGAGCCCCAACTCACAGCTATTCTGAGAGCGCATTGGGCTGCCTTCAGGAGGGCCAGGCATCTGTTTTGAATTTTTTATCATTTTGTCGTTAGACTTGGAAGCAGGGCTATTTTTGTGAAATACCACGGATTCGGACAAGCCCATTTCCAAAGGGAGTGGTGAGTGGGGACCGGCTTCCTTGGGGCAGCCGGGGCCGGACAGTAACGACGTCCTGGATGGAGCCGCAGGGCTGGGCGAGCCAGGACCTTGGCCGGGTCCCCTGGGGGCGGGCCTGGCCTGCGAGGAAGGCCCTTGCCCCCCAGAACCACAGGGACTGGGGGAAGTATGTCCCTCGCTGCATCAGGCTGAGTCAGCATCTGACGTGAGCAGGGCGGCAGGGGCAGCTAATGCATGAGAGACGGGGTGCCAGACGCGGGCCTCTGATCCTCAGGACACAGTCCACGCTCCAGGCAGAGCCGCCTGCCCTTCCCTGCGGGGCCCACAGCTCTGAGGCAGGAAACAGCCTTCCCTCCACCCTGGCCGATGACAACTTGGGGCTACCTCGTCTCTGACGCCGTCCTGGTCGGCTGCACCTGCCTCCCCACCCCCCTCCTGTATCACAGCCTCCTGCAGCCCAGCACTCAGGGTCTTCCTCACTCGTCAGTGAGCTCCCTGCAAACACAGTCACACCTGACATACAGTCTAATGCACAGACACCGTGGCGTGCACCCAGCACGTGAGCACGTGTGACGTATGATCTAGGACAGATGCCGCATTAGGGGCCAACATGCCAGGGGCAGGCAGAGAGCGCCCCATTTCACAGGCACAACCAGGCGGAGAAATCTGCCGCAGGTCACCCGCCAGCAGGTGGCGGCAGAAAACAGACCCCCACGCGGCCCCTAATTCTCGGAACCTCACACACAAAGGGGACCCTGAGGACTTTCAGATACCTAGCACCCCCGTTGCTGGGATGTTCGGTCTGTGTGCGGGGACACCCTAGGCACACCCACCCAGGGCGGGGCAGGCGAGCAGCCAGGAGCCCAGGCCGGGGGGGGGGGGGGGCAATCCAGCCCCTGGCCTCACCCCGGGCCATAAGGACATGGAAAGTTCAACGCAGGTGACTTCCTGCGGCGCTGGCTTTGGGAAGCCCAGTCCGTGAGTCAGAGGGTTGGTGTGTCCGCCTGTCTGGCTCCCTCTCTCTCTGGTCAGGCAGCCTGAGAGGAGCTGAAGCGATGAGATACAAGCCACCAGGCTTGGTCACCATGAATCAAGGCCTGTGGCCAGCTGAGTCACATAGGGCTGTGGCTCAGAGCACGCTGCGGGCACCATTGGCCCTCACCCTGGCCCCGGGGCCAGACACCCCAATCCCGCAGGCACCGAGAGCTCCGCCCCCTGTTAAGCCGCCAGGGCCTGTGCTCTGGCCGCGAAGGAGTGCTGACACACCCTGTAACTCAAGAACTGGAGAGACGCGGCCGCGGAAGAGGGCCCGGAGGGCCGGCCACGAGGGACGCTGTACGCCACGAAGACTTGGCCGGCAGCAGCCACTGTCCCGAGGTGACCTCACTTGGCTACAAGGCGCCTGAAGTCACCAGTCCATTCAGAGCCCTACAACCATCCGGCGTGTGTGTAGTGAGTGCCTACCTTATGCTTGGCGTCGCAAACAATTCACTGAGCTTGGGCCCGGCCAGCGGGGCTCAGGGGTTGAGCATCAACCTATGAACCAGGAGGTCACAGTTCAATTCCCGGTCAGGGCACAGGCCCGGTGTGGGGCATGCAGGAGGCACCCGATCAATGATCTCTCTCATCATTGACGTTTCTCTTTCTCTCTCCTTCTCCCTTCTTCTCTGAAATCAATGATGATGATGATAATAATAATAATAAATGTATATATATATATATATATATATATATATATATATATATATATATACACTAGAGGCCTGGTGCACAAATTAGTGCACGGGTGTGGTCAGGCCGCCTGCCCCAATTGCTGGGGGCTGATCAGGGGTGGGGCCAGCCAGGGGAGGGGCTGTGGGTGGTTGGCCAGCTGGCCCCACCCCTGGTTGAACTCCTGGTGGAACTCCCAGTCCAACTCCTGGTCGAGGGGATAATTTGCATATTCGCCTTTTATTATATCAGGATAAAAAGGAATTCACGGAACTTGAGACCCCAGACCTTGGCCCTGCCTGGGGGTCCTCCCCGCCCAGCAGGCAGGGGGCTGAGAGGGGGCAGAAGCGGGGAGCTGGCCGGTCTGCAGATGAAGCACACAGCCCCAGGCACGGAGGCCAGCTCCTCCTGCCCCAGCGCCCCCGCGATGCCCGAGGCTCATTGGAGGAGCTGAGTGTGAGAGGAGGGGCCGCGTCAGCCCTGTGATGCTGCACCCACACAGCCTGCCTCCTCCCCAGGAAGTGCCCAGTGCAGAGGGCAGGCTGGGCTGGGAGGGGGCTCCATGCCAGGACCCAGCCAGGGCCCCTCTGTCCTGTTCTCCCTGCTGGGGTCACTGCTTTCCCGTCCCCTCCCACCAACGTCCGACATTCAGTCAGCATTTTCTGCCGCAGGGCACTTCTCTCCACCTCCTAACGGCAAGTCCTCACCCCACATCTGCAAGGCCCATCGGGTTTCTCTCCCCCAGAGCCGGGCCAGGCCTCTGACCAAGGCTGAGGTCACCCCTGCAGCCAGCAGGGGAGGGAGGGAAGGACGAGAGGGGCAGGGCCTGCCCTCCAGGCGAACCCTCTGCACGGGCACTGGGTGGGCAGCAGGGCCCGGGCGGTGAGCCCACGGGACCTGGGCGGCGCTGCGAGCCCCGGACCTCTGGCCCCTGCGGATGGGCCCCCACAGGAGCCACAAAGGGGACTGGCTCTCCCCCTTCACCCTGAGGGTCCCTTCAGCCTTGGAACCTCATGGGACATGAGTCAGGACCTGGCTCCTTGGGGACTGCACTGCCCGGGGGCTACGCGGGGGCTTTGGTCACAATGGTCTACGTTCAGGTCCCAGCTCTGTGACCTCGGGGAACTGCCAGTGTCCCTACCCCAGGGGTCACTGGGGGTGAGAAGGGACGAACCACACACCGCGCACCGGCTGGAGGCACCCGAACACCAGCGGTGACACAGCCTCGGCCTGAGCAGCCTCCTCCTCCGGGGCCACCACAGCCCCTCACTCAGCCGCAGGACCAATGGCCCTCAGGGCCCCAAACTCCAGTGTCCACATTCTCCCCCCAAACTCTGCTGCCAGTGTCCGCCCTTCCGTGTGCTTCCCGCCTGGATGCTGCTGCCCGCGGCCCGCCTTCCCGCTGGGATGCTCGGCACCAGGTCTGCCGGGGTCCCGAGGCGGCTCTCGGCCCCCAGCTGCAGGGACGTCGCTGCACCTCAGCCCCTGGCGGGTCCCCCTTTGAGCTCTGAGAAGCGCTTACGCAGCCAGAGTGCTGGTGGGAAGTTCTGTCTGTGCATCTGTCCGTCCCACACCTGGTGGGCTGTCTGCGGGAGGGTCAGGGTGATCTGTCCCTGTCACCCACGGCACACAGTAGGTGCTCACACATCTCTGGTTGGATGGCTCCGGGCTGTGCCCAGTGCCTGGCGGTCCCAGCCCCACCAGGGAGCCAACTTTTCCCGCGAACAGTGGTCCCCCCCACCCCCCCCCCGCACCCCCGAGCCCGGAGACGTCACATACCTGGTCCCCAGAGTGTGACGCACTGCTGCTCGTGGGTCTGGCAGATGCCGTTGTAGCAGTAGCCGTCCACGCCCTGGCACGGGTGCCCATCGTGGAGGTACACGTTGGCCGGGCAGTGCGGGCTGGCCCCTGAGCAGAACTCGGGGAGGTCGCAGGCATTGCTGGCGCCCCTGCAGGCCGTGCCCGCAGGCTTCAGCTGCAAGGAGAGGGCAGTTATGGCACGGGGTGTGCAAGGGGTGGGGGGGTCGTGGGGGGGTAGGGGCACGGGTGCCCGCAGGCTCCCACATGGACTGAGAGGCCATTCTCCGTGTCACCTGAGGATGTCAAAGCCAGTCCCTCACAGCAGAGGGAGTCCCTGAGTAACAGTCCTGCTCTGGGACAGGCGCCTCGCCCCTTTCAGGGGGTCAAGAGCAGCCTTGTTAGCATCAGGCAACAGTAGGGGTGTCGTTGATTCTTAGGAAAGAGATCTGCGGTCGCCAATCCTTTCAGATGGGGTCTCCACCTGCAGCGCCAGCATCTGCTGGCAAGCTGACAAAAATAATTCCACGGGCACCATTGCCACGGCTGCTTCCTGTCATCCAATCGCGGCTGGGACTTTAGGGGGCGAGGTGCCGAGGGACAAGGCAGGCGGGGCGGGACAGAGGAGCCCTCGGCCACGCCTCCTGTCCCGTGGCTGAGACATTAAGGCCCCGGTGGCTTGTCTGAGGCCGAAAGGCCAGGGACCTCCCCGCCTCACCCCCTTCTGAGCGCCTTCCGCCGCCAGCTGCCACGTGCGGGGGCCACTGCTCTCGGGGCCTGTTAGTTAACCCCGGGTAGGAAGGGGGTGGAGGGCGCTGTAAGCAGAACGTAAATTTTTACGCACTTCTGAATCAGGAGGCTCCCACAAGCAGGATGCTGAGATCAATCGCTTCATTAAAAAATGAAATTCTAGCCCAGCCAGCGTGGCTCAGTGGTTGAGCATCGACCTAGGAACCAGGAGATCATGGTTCAATTCCTGGTCAAGGGCACATGCCCGGGTTGCGGGCTTGATCCCCTGTAGGGGACGTGCAGGGGGCAGCCGATCCATGATTCTCTCTCATCATGGATATTCCTATCTCTCTCCCTCTCCCTTCCTCTCTGACATCAATTAAAAACAAAGCAAAACAAAACAAAAGAAATAAAGTGTCACAGATGACTCGGCATAACACGAGGCAACCAGCTGCGCATGCTGTGGAGCCACCCGCACCTGGGCGGCCAGGACTCACCTGGCAGTGTTCGCAGCAGAGCCCGTGCGCGCAGACGGCGCCCGGCGTCAGGGTGCAGGTGGAGGCGTTGCAGCAGCGGCTGGTACATTCCTGCAGAGGGAAGGGCCGTTGGACAGGTGGGGGCCGGGGCAGCGACCCCTGTGGACGGCCAGTGCGCCTGACGCGGCTGCAGAAGGGAAGGGAGAGCCCGGCAGCCCGACCGAGGGTTAGCGTCGCCTGTGAGAAGCGAAGCTCTGGGGAGTGTTTAGGGCTGAGTGGTTGGGGAGGGGGGTCCCTTCGTGAGGGGTAAGGAGCCTGGACAGGGAGGTGGCGGGAGGTCATCCGTCAGCTGCAGCCGGGGCTCCGTGGGAAGAGGGGCCCCCGGTTACTGCAGGGCTTCCTGCCCCAAAGTGTATCGGGATCACCAAACACTTCCAACTGACGTATTAAAAAGCATGCATGGCCCTGGCCGCGTGGCTCAGCAGCTGAGCGTCCACCTATGAACCAGGAGGTCAGGGTTCGATTCCTGGTCAGGGCACAGGCCCGGGTTGCAGGCTCGATCCCCAGTGTGGGGCGTGCAGGAGGCAGCCGGTCCATGCTTCTCTCTCATCATGGATGTTTCTCTCTCTCTCCCTCTCCCTTCCTCTCTGAAATCGATAAAACATATAAAACATAGAAACATACATAGATGCATTCAAATATTACTCTTCCAAGACTGACCCGGTCAACCTGGTTCAACCCGGAACACACCGGCAGGAAGTGAAGTCGGACCGATTGAAGCGCAGTTCCTCGCGAGGCAAACAGACGGGTGGTGACTCCTGCTTGGCCTGGTCAGCAACCCTCGGGGCAGAAACGCACCCGAGAGTGACCGAGGGGCCCAAGAGGGTCGTGGGCTGTGCCCGCTGATGGGCAAGGATTTTTTGCTTTTGTATTTTTTTAAAAAATATTTTATTGATTTTTTACAGAGAAGAAGGGAGAGGGATAGAGAGTTAGAAACATCGATGAGAGAGAAACATCGATCAGCTGCCTCCTGCACGCCCCGCACTGGGGATGTGCCTGCAACCAAGGTACATGCCCTTGACCGGAATTGAACCTGGGACCCTTCAGTCCGCAGGCCGATGCTTTATCCACTGAGCCAAACTGGTTCGGCTGCTTTTATATTTTTTAAAAAATATATTTTTATTTCACAGAGGAAAGGGGGGGAGGGAGGGAGAGAGCGAGAGAGAGCGAGAGAGAGAAACATCAATGATGAAAGAGAATCACTGACCGGCTGCCTCCTGCACGCCCTCTATTGGGGATCGGGCCCACAACCCGGGCCTGTGCCTGGACTGGGAATTGAACTGTGACCTAGTTCATAGGTCGAGGCTCAACCACTGAGCCACGCCGGCTGGGCGATTGGCAAGGGGTTGAAAGAGAAAGATCAAATGTTAGGTGTGCTGCCCTCCCTGAGATACAAGGGAGAGAGGAGCCGGGCTCCTGGGCTGTGCTGGGCTTCACCAGGACCTGGTTTCTTCTAACCACAAGAAACAAGAGGTTGCCGCCTGTGCTCAGCCCTCACCCGAAGGGCTGGCACCTTCCCCTGGTGCCCCAGGCGTCCTGGTCCTGCAAACATGCCAATAACGCGGAGCTCAGACATTTCAGGAAGAAACGGAATTACCGGAAGAAGGGAGAGTTCACGGCGTCGTTAGTGGTAATTTATCTGTGCCCTTTAATTTTACCTAACGTGATTGTGCTAAAGGATTTACATACGAGTGGCTACAATGAAGCCAGTCGCACACTGTTTTAATAGCACAGCGGGTCACTCCTAAAAACCGTCTTCTGTGAGTGAATTTGTAATCAGTGTCGCTAATGGGTGCAGGAGGTGCTGTGGGGAATCCAGAGGATGCGGGGCTCCCCCGGGAATCTGACCTGGGCCCCGTGTGAGACGACGAATTACACGCCAGGGCAGCGCCCTCCACGCTCCTGCTGCACATACATCCCAAGTCACTGGGCTTCACATCTGCTCACGGACGTTATAAACACCCGGAGGATGTAACGCACACAGTGCGATAACGGCCAAGCAGCCACAGCGGAGCTGCCAGGCAGGGCGGGTTTCTAGCTCACGGAGTGACAACCCTGAAATGTTTGGAAACTTGTCTGTGTGTTTTAAGGAGCCCGTCAGCGGCCTCCCTGATTGGTGCCACCACACGCACGGCGATGTCGCTGTTCACGACTGTCTAAATGGCTCTACCAACGACGCCGTCGCCACATCCCAGGGTGCCCCATGCTAAGCTCAGCCAGCCACCCTGAGCCTGGGTCCTGAGAGCCTGTAAGACGTCCCCCGCCCCCCCCCCCCCCCCCCAATCACTCAGTAACATAAGCAGCAGCTCACACGGAAACGCAGCCAAGGAGAATGGCCTGGACTTCAAAGGGGCTGATAAAGTGAGAGAGAACTGCGGTCTGGAGCCATCTGCAGGCCTGGCACCCAGGCCTTTAGACAGGGCGCCCCGGCCGGCCGGCCCGCCCGCTGCTGGGAGAGTGGGTGAGCTGTCAGGCTGCCCTGGGTGACAGGAGCCCAGGCCCGTGCAGGAAGCTTCCAGCAGAAAGCTTGGCCCAGACCCCCCTCCTCCTGCAGCAGCGGGTTTGTCGGAAGAGACGAGCTCTTCACCCAATGATGCGTTTGTGATTTTAGGGCCCAGCAGAGAATCAGCGGAGTCCATGAGCACCACGGCTGCAAAGAAGGAAGAGGAGAGAAGCGCTGAGAGCTGCTCCGCAGACGCCCTCATCGCCATTCCCGCGCTGCCGGTCCTACCAGACATGGATTCATCACAACCACCTGGGACAAGACACGTGCAGCTTCTGAAAACGGGGGAGACCACTGCTGGGCGCGAGGGCAGAGCTGGTTCCCGCTGTGAGCGGGGCGAGTGGTTCTGAAGCACTGAGGTGGCGACACAGAGGATGGGCCAGGGGTGTGTGGCCATGGGGTGTGTGGGCCACGGGGTGTGTGGCCATGGGGTGTGTGGGCCACGGGGTGTGTGGCCAGGGGTGCGTGAGCCGACATGAAGCAAAGGTGTAGACAAGATTTCCAGGGCTGAGCACTGGGTCAGGGGGTACAGAACCCAGGTGAGCAGGTTGGACTAAAACAGTGGTTCTCAACCTGTGGGTTGCGACCCCTTTGGGGGTCGAACGACCCTTTCACAGGGGTTGCCTAAGACCATCGGAAAACGCATCTATAATTACATATTGTTTTTGTGATGAATCACTATGCTTTAATTATGTTCAGTTTGCCACAATGAAGTTGGAGGCCACCACAACATGAGGAGCTGTATTAAAGGGTCGCGGCGTTAGGAAGGTTGAGAACCACTGGACTAAAAGCTTTGGCCGAAGTGATTTAGAAACTGGAAAGGGCTGTCATGCTGTTAGGCCTAGTTGGAGCTTGAACACTGAAAAGTGAAAAATAAAAAACAGAAACATTTAAAAAGGGAGGCTAAAGGCGGCCACGTGGGCTTCCCACTCGGGAGGAAGCGCTCGGTGAACAAGAAAGGTGGTTGCTCATTCACATTCCCCTCCCCTCGCCCGGTGCACAGGGGAGAAAGGTGCCTGTCAGCTGCTTGAGGCCTCCGCCAGGCTCCTCCAGCTCTGAGCTGAGTGCCTCTTCATCTCGCCAAGAACACCGCGTCCTTAGAGAAGGTTCTTACCCTCTTTTTCCCATTAATCCTCTCCTGAAGATAATTCCCCATTGATTTTAGAGAGAGTGGAAGGGGGGGGGGGGAGAGAAAGAGAGAAAGAGCGAAAGAGAGAGAGGAGAGAGAGAGAAACATCGATGTGAGAGAGACACATCGATTGGTTGCCTCCTGCACGTGCCCAGGCCGAGGACCGGGATCGAGCCTGCAACAGAGGTACGTGCGCTTGACCAGAATCCAACCTGGGACCCATCAGTCCAAGGGCTGATGCTCCCACCCCTGAGCCAACCCCCTAGGGCAGGTTCTTATCTTTTAAGCCAGGGATGTAACATTCCGTGCGACAGTTACACGAGAAGGCCCCTGGCTTGGCCGCGTGTCCGAGGGGGCCATGGGGCGTGGCCAGCCTGACCTTCCAGCCCTGTCACCGGTTCCTCCCGGCCCTGGCCTCGCGGACCGGACACCAGCCCGCGGCCCGGAGGCGGCGCTCACCTCGGGCTCCCCGCAGTCGCACTCCTCGCCTTCCTCCACGTAGCCGTCCCCGCACTTGCGGCCCCCGAAGGCCGGCCGGACCTCGGGCAGGTTGAAGAGGCACATGCCCACGCCCTTCTGCAGGCTGGCCTCCAGGTCCTTCCGGCTGCAGCTGCTGAACACGGCGGGGAACGGGAGCCTGTGCGGGGGGGAGAGGGGTCAGCGGGCAGCGCCACGGGGCCGCTCCTCCTGGGGCCACTCCTGTCCCCGCCCCTGACATCTGCCCTCGGGCCCACAGCGGTCTCAGTGAGCAAAGGCGGAGACATGCGGTGTGACACGAGGCACCTGTGGCTGCATTCCTTTATTTGTTATACATTTTTATTGATCTCAGAGAGGAGGGGAGAGGGAGAGAGAGAGAAACATCCATGATGAGAGAGAATCATGGATGTGCTGCCTCCTGCACGCCCCCCACTGGGGATGGAGCCCGAAACCTGGGCCTGTGCCCTGACTGGGAATCGAACTAGGACCTCCTGGTTCCCAGGTCGACGGTCCACCCCTGAGCCCCGCCGGTTGGGCTCGTCTCACTCTCTGTTATACATGCATTTCCCCAGGTCCTGAGCGGCAAGAACTGTGGGGGCAGGTGTGCCCCAAACCCCGAGGGTCGTACGACTCAGCGAGAAAGTGGGGCCTGCTGAGCCGCAACCGGCGCCCACTCCCCTCAGAGGCTCCCAGGACGGCGTTACAATGGATCCCAATCAGCTGGCCCAACCGGTGCACACGGCCACGCTTCCCCACACGGCCACGCTTCCCCACACGCGGCCCCTCTTCCCCACACACTTCCCCGCAGACGTGGACACGCCACTACCTCCTGACTGAGTCTGGCCTCTGGTCCAGACCACGGCCGAGCTGGGGACACGGCACTGTCCACGCGGTTTTCTGTCGATCGCGGCTTATTAACTGCGGAGCCTACTTTGATGGACCAACACGCCCGTAAGCGCAACCCTGCTCTCCACGCAAAGGCAAGAGGCCCTGGCGCACTTGTCCCGCGGGTGCAACACGTCTGTGGAAACCTGTGCAGCTCCCCTGGCGGACAGACCGGTCCTTCCAGGATCAACACGTGGCAGAACAGCGTCCAATGCTGACCCACAAGGAGAACGGTCACCGTGCCAACGCAGAGGGCGCTGCGGTGACCAGACCGCGGCACATGGCACAGGGAGCCCAGGGCGCCCTTCTCTGCGCAGAAGGAGCCTCCCCGAGGCGGATGGGCTGTCCTCCGCGTGGGGCTTTGCTGGGGCACATAGCTCCAGCCCGACATGGAGACAGGACGTCACTCCCATCAGGACATGCAGCCAGGCGTGTGGTAAACTCTGCCCAGCTCATTCGGGGCAGGAGCTGGCCTCCCGAGAATTGACAGTGAGTGAGGAAGGACACGCGGGGAGCCGGGAGCTGGGAGGGTCTCCAGCAAGAACAGCAGTGCGAAGAGGAGATCGATAGACCAGCCGCGTGCACCCCGGCCTCACAGGTGAGCAGGGGTGTCCGCCAGCGTCCCCATCTCAGACAGCGCCCGTCCCAGCTCGGACAGGCCCCAGGTCACCAACTGCATGGAGGCCAGCTGCACGGAGCCCGGCTGCAGGGGGCCCGGCTGCACGGATGGAGCCCGGCCGCACGGACGGAGCCCGGCCGCATGGACGGAGCCGGCCGCACGGACGGAGCCCGGCTGCACGGACGGAGCCCGGCCGCACGGACGGAGCCCGGCCGCACGGACGGAGCCCGGCCGCACGGATGGAGCCCGGCCGCACGGATGGAGCCCGGCTGCAAGGACGGAGCCCGGCTGCACGGACGGAGCCCGGCTGCAAGGACGGAGCCCGGCTGCACGGTGCTGAGCACATTTCCTCTGCCCAGCACCGCAGGAGGGATGCCTTTCTCCTCTTTCTGAGCGTTAGAGATGCTGCGCACCTTCAGTCACGATAAGGAATAGGAAGATGGAAAGGCTCCCGGCAACTCGGCCTTCTGTCGGGGACAGGACTCTCAGGCCCGCGGGGCCATTGTGTCAGCGATGGCGGCTGATTACAATGTTCGGATTCTGGAAGGTTTCGATAGAGAAGAAACAAGGTATATTGGGATGCGCTTCCCCCGGGCAAGCGTCTGCAGTACCTGGTTCTTTCTGAATCCGGGAGCGTTTAATAGCCTTACAGCGGTCACTGCCTCCTCTGCCCGCGAGTCACCTTCAGGGTGAACACGGAAACCACATTTGAACCTTTGCCATCGTGCCTGAGTCAGTAGAGGGGCGTCAGGAGGAAGGCGGGGACTGGGAGGGGCCAGTTTATACTCTTATGTTGTTGTTGTTGTTAATCCTCACCTGAGGTTATGTTCCCATTGATTTTTAGAGTGAGTGGAAGGGAGAGGGGGAGACAGAGATAGAGAAACAACGTCTCCTACACACACCCCGACCAAGGTGCGTGCCCTGGACCGGAATCGAACCCAGGACCCTTCAGTCCGCGGGCCCATGCTCTATCCACTGAGCCAAACCAGCTGGGGCTGGACCAGTTTAAAGCAAGCCGTTCACACAGAATCCGTGGGCGCAGTGCCGAGTGGCGCTTCCGGGCATTCGCGCTTTCCAACAGCGACGAGCGGAAATTCGGAAAAGGCCCTTCGCTCCTCCACAGTCCCAGGTCCCTGCGAGCTGCACACTCATCCTCATGCCACCGTGGACTGTGGAGTGATTGGTCACTTACAGACACGTGATCTCATTTCCTCTGCTCTCCCACTCCCGTGGGGACCCAGGAGGCGAGAGGGCGCCCGGGCTGAGATCACGCTGGGATGAGAAGCAGCCGGGAAGTCCACGGGGGTGATGGATGGGCGGGGGCGCCGGGCCGGGCGGCCTGACCTCCCTGCACCGGGGCTTTTGTGACTAATCCACCCACTCGCTTAGGAAGTTCCTCTCCACACGAGAAAAATAAAACCACCGCCGTCTGGACAGGAACGCGGGTCATAAAGGAGAACCAAGTAGGGAGATTTACACGAAAGCACCAGCTCAGCACAGGAGGAAACTCAGAAATGGCCAGTAAGGTATAAAGCAGGGAAGGCGTTAGCATGCCCGGGCAAGGAGAGAAAGCGCCTGGAAGTGACCCGCTGGGCTCTGGGCAATGCCAGTCCCCCCACGGCTGCCAGTCTCAGGTGCGTGCCGCGTGCCCATGAGCACTGCCACCCGCCCTGCCAGCGTGAAGGGCTAGGCGGCGCCGGGAAGGGCGCCTGGTAGTCATGGCGCCTCCAGAATCACGCAACATTTTGAGGGTCCCCCTCATCTGTGCACCCCCCAAACAGCAAGCACAGGGGCAAAAATATTTGTTCAATATGTGAACGGATCAGTACGAAGATGGATGGTTGGAATAACAAATAGATGGATGCATGGAAGGGAAGAAGGAAAGAGAGAGGGAGGGAAGGAGTGAGGGAGGGAAGGAGGGAGGGAGGGAGGGGGGGGAAGGAGTGAAGGAGGGAGTGTGGGGCTCGGGGAGCTGACACCCTCCCGCCCTATGAGCAGATGAAAATCCGCGCATAACGTCAGACTCCCCAAATGCTGCAGCTGTCCCTCAGCATCCGTTGGGGACCGTTCCAGGACACCGACTCCTCCCTGCAGACACCAAGGCTGTGGATGCCCGAGTCCCTCCTGTGAAACCCCCCAGCCCCCCACACCCAGCCAGCCCCCTGCCCCCCCGCACCCAGCCAGCCCCCCATGCCCCCCCGCCCCCCGGCCAGACCCCCGCCCCCCCCCCCCCCCCGCACCCAGACAGCCTCCTGCAAACCCCTGCCCGTTCCGAACCCAGCCAGCCCTCTGCACCCAGCCAGCCCCCTTATACCCATGATCCCCAACCTCAGGCTGAGAGCGAGGTTGCAATCAGCTGGTTGAATCTGGTTGCCTGTGACTCTCAGGGCAGCACAGGCCCCTCACTCTTGCACCTCTGGAGGGATTTCTTTCTGGAAGCTTCCACGGGTGCTCTGGCCAGAAACCCGGGGAGTTTCCTGCTCACTGTTTCCCAACACGCCTGTCAAGCTGCAGCCCGACTCCGGAAGCCACTGGAGGCGCGAGTACTTGCCCGGTCGAGGGGTTCATGATGCAGCCCCCCTTGTCCGGGGCCGTCCGGCAGCTGCAGCCGCGCTCCAGGGTGTCATGGTTCATCCCGAAGTTGTGGCCCAGCTCGTGCGCCAGCGTCACGGCCGCGCCCAGGGGGCTGTCCGAGTGGTCCTCGGAGAGAGCACAGGGCACAGGCTACAGCTCCTGTCGCCCCCCCCCCCCAAATGAGCGTCTCCTCGACACGGCCTGACAGCTCCCCTGGAAGGAACCGCGGAGAGCCACAGGGATGCGTTAAAGCTTGAAAAGATGGCACAGCCCGGCCGGCGTGGCTCAGCGGTTAGATCGCCGGCCCTCGGACCCAAGGGTCACGGTTCGGTTCCTGGTCAGGGCACAGCCCGGGATGCGGGCTCCATCCCTAGTGGGGGGCGTACAGGAGGCAGCAGGAGGCTTTCGGACACCGAGCTCAGCGCCCGCTCCGTCCCAACAACAAAACTGCTCCCAGTGGGTGGGGGTCTGCTTCCTCGCTGCGGGCCTTCCTCACGCCTGCGAGGTTCAGAAGGAGGCGCGGCCGCCTCTGGCAGCGAGGGTGTAAGGTCAGAGGCGCCGGGAGACAGCCTGGGAGTGTGGGATCTGGCTTATCTGGTGAGCGTTTCAGAAATTCAAGGGGCCAGGCCTGCTCTTCCCACTGGGTGCCTCTCTTGCCCGCGGGGCGAACGAGGAACGCGCCTCAGGCTGATCTCAACGGAGGCCGAGCGGCCCCACCTACTTCCTGTCGCTTAACGCTGGCTTTGAGGACTCTCACTGCAGTCCACATATGTGTTCCTACTTCCCACACCCATCGTCACTCATTTTTTAAATGTGAGGTGTCCCCGTATGCTCTTCCAGGAGGAATCTTTTTAAATATGTTCTTCTTGACTTCAGGGAGAGGAAGGGAGAGGGAGAGAGATAGAGACATCAAGGATGAGAGAGAATCAGGGACCAGCTGCCTCCTGCACGCCCCCTGCTGGGGATCAAGCCTGCAACCTGGACCTGTGCCCTGACCAGGAATTGAACCCTGACCTCCTGGTTCATGGGTCGACGCTCAACCACTGCGCCACGCCGGCCGGGCTCCAGGAGGAATCTTGGTGAGTGCTGGTGTGGAAACAGAATAAGGGGTATGAGCTCCAGGAAGCCACTTAACCTGGTCAGGTTGGTCATGAAACGTTTAAGTGCCGCACGCCGGCGGCAGAACCTGCGGGCTTGTAAGGAATTGAGCTTCGGCCCTAAAAACACAGACACCCGTCTGAAGTGGCGAAGTCAGTTAGCAACCGGCCGTGGAACCATGAAACAGAAAATGCTTCCCTCTTAAAACTTTACGGGCGGCTCTGGAAACGGACAGCTGGGCTGGGACTCGAAATGACCCTGGCACCGCCCGCAGCCCACCTGTCCGTGGCTTCCCCGGCCCGGCTCTCACACAGGCCGGCCTCCGGGCTCTCCCCCTCTCCTCCCCCTCCTCCCCCGGGCACGCGGTTCCCCGAACCCCTGCGCTGCCCGGGGAAGAGGAAACCCGCCCTATGGGTGCCGGGGAGAGACGGCGGGCAGTGAGAAAGTCGGAGTCAGCAGAACAGGCTCCTCTGCCCGCTAACACACGGAATATTCACACGTGTTCCCTTTGGAACCTGCGGGAGAACTCCCGGTTTCTTGGAAGGACGGGTTTGTTTGTGTAGCTGGGATGCTGGACTGGTCTCTGAGGACACGCCCCGTCGGGGGCTGGGGCAGGGGGCTCGCCCCGGGCTCAGGGTGGGCACAGCAGCGCCCTGGTGGCACCTTCCCTCTCATGATCGGAGGGGCCGGGGCAGGAGTCCCCCGACGGGCAGCCTGTCAGAGCCGCCTCCCTCTTCAGTTCAGAGGAATCAAGTCCCCAGTGTCCCTCCCGCTCTCTTTCCTTTTACAAACACAGCTAGCCCATGTATGACAAAGTGGTCCTTGTACAGCACAAGCTCAGGCCCCCGCCTTCCGAGAATGAGGCTGTTCTGCAGACGGTCGGACACTGGCCTGGAGGTATGTCAAGCATGTGCGGTGGCGAGGAGTACAAACCTCAGCCGTTTGGCTGTTGGGCCTGGAGGCTGAGCCGTCAGAAAACCGTCCTAACGGCTCTGTTCGGGGCGACCACAGGCCACCTCGAGGCGGGGAGGGGAGGGCAGCCCCAGGCCGGGCTCATCCCGGCGCCGGGAGGGAATTCCTGGGCTGGAGCTCAGACCAAAATCCCAGCGGAGCTTTTTCTCCATAAACGGGGAGGACTGGTTCGCACGAGCTATTTTTACACGCTCTCCTCTCCTGTGTGCAAATGGATGTGTTTTACAAGCAGTCCCTAAAAGAGTGTAGGGCGCCCAGCCACCGTGGCTCCGTGGTTGAGCACTGACTTATGAACCAGGAGGTCACGGTTCGATTCCCGGTCAAGGGCACATGCCTGGGCTGCAGGCTCCATCCCCAGTAGGGGGCGTGCAGGAGGCAGCTGATGAAGGATTGTCTCTCATCATGGATGTTTCTATCTCTCTCTCCCTCTCCCTTCCTCTCTGAAATCAATAAAAATATATTTTAAAAAATAAGTAAAATATAAGATATTGTGGGGTGTGTACGATCACAGACAGAGCGAGAAGGAGGACAGGATGAAATCTAAAAAGCATTGACCCAGCGACCCTGACCTCACCAGGTCTGGTGAAAGCAGAGACTTCCCGGGAACCGTCTCGGGGGGACTCACCATGACGATGCCCCCGGACTGCTCCGCCGTGCACATGCTCATGATGGGCGCCATGCCGATGGTGGTGCCTTGGAAATAGACCCCACTAGGAGGGAGACAAGAGAAAGGGCTTTCTGAAATGAACACAGAATGAAGACATTTCCTAAGATACATTTTTTGGACCTTCGATGAAAAAAGAAATATATCGAGGTCAAGAACACGGTGTGCGGCCTGTAACTGGGTCAAGGGTTGGGGGAGCAGGTGACAAAATGAACAGAGCGGATGTACATAAGCGAGAGGCACCCAGTCCCGGGGTGACCCACACGTGGGCGCGTGGGCGCGGCTGTCCCCTCCGCTCTCGGCCACTTAGGGTCCAGTCGCACCGCGGTCCACGACCCTTTCAGATTTCTGTTTCCGAGACTCAGACAGCCGGTCACGGCTCTTGACTGTGTAACTGGTGGTCTGCCTGCTTCCTCAGGGGGGTGGGGGCAGGAGGAGGGGGTGAGGGCCGTCTGCGAAGGCACAGAATCGCGGTGGTTACGGGACGCAGTAGGCGGCTCGCTCTGTTTCCTGTTGTCGCTGAAGTCTGTGCTCCTGCGTGACATGACCGGACGGAAACCCACGGCGCTCCTGCGAGCGGAACGTTTAAAGTGGAATCGCAGGAGAATGGCTGACCCCTGGGCTGAGTGTAGGAGTCAGCACCCACGCAGCCTCAGCCGCCGGCGGAAGCTTCTGGAAGGGGCCCTGATGGCTCCCGCGGGCGCAGCTTTCCCTCCCGCGGAATCTTGAGCAGCGAGTCCGATGACCTCAAGGCCTGTGTCATGCAAGTGCGTGTAGCTCCTACCTCATCCACGAAAAATGAAACAATGTCATTGTTGAATTTCGTTTAAAGGAAAAATGAGCTTTCATGTCATCTTGGCCACGGACATACATTGATTTCACAGGTATTATGTGAAAAGGTAGGTATTTCGGTCGATTGGACAAGAGGGAGCAAGCATACATGCCACCCCATCTATGCATGCATGAACGTGTGTATGTATGTATCCACCCATCTGCCCCCCCCCCCCCCCCCGCCACGCTCACGGACAAGAGTAGGGACTGCAGCCTTAACGTTTATATCTCTATCGAGCATTTAACAGAAACAATACATGTATATACACGAGGAGGTTATATAAGAGGCTGATTCATTTCCAGATGTTCAGGTTGGACAGACTCCATTTGGGAAAAAAGTCAAAACAACACACTTTGATTCTGCTTTTTAATGGTTCAGGATTAATCACTGCGCAAAATATGAGGCAACCGCAAATATCCAAGGCAGGGAATTAACAAAAGCCCCCTGACGATGGCCAAAGTGAATGAACAGGGACGGCCCCCGGCCTCGCCCGGGGGTGGGCACGTTCTAAAGAGAGGATGGGGAGGGGCTGGTGATCCACTTCCCATAAAAGCTCGTAATTAGACCCAATTCGCTAAAGGAAAGCGTCCACCTCTCCACAGCTTTTAATTCAGTGATAAAGCAACGCGAGAAGACAAGGACAAGGGCATAAAGTGTTTAAGGGCTTTAATAGAATGTTCTCCACTTTGGAAACAATCTACTTCATTAGGGCACGAATGCTTCTTTTTGAGAATAAAGGGGTCTGCTGCAGCGGCTACATTCCAGCGCTGTTCCCTCACTGCTTACGCCACACCCTGGCCGCTCAGGGAATTGCCTTGTTCACCGGCTCCCCCGGCAGACGGGGACCCACTCCACCGCGTTCCAGGCTCCCGGGGTGGAAGTTTGGTTCCTGCTCGGTGCCCAGGGCAGTTGGATTGAAAGACAGACCCAAGGCTAATGTGCTGTCCTGTTGCAGCCTTGGATCTAGGAAGCCCCAGAATGCCGTGAGGAGGGGGACACGGGTGTCCCGCCTTCAGAGGGTGCATCCACATTCCCGCTGATAAGGGAAGACAATGGGCTTTAAAAAGCAGCTGCTCTGGACAACTGGGCATCAGGCGGAGACTGGAACAGCTTGCCCAGCCCGGCCGGCGTGGCTCAGTGGTTGAGCGTTGAACTATGAACCTAGGATTCGATTCCAGGTCCGGGCACAGGCCCGGGTTGCGGGCTCGATCCCCAACAGGGGTATGCAGGAGGCAGCCGATAGATACTGATGTTTCTCTCTCATCGATGTTTCTATCTCTCTCTCCTTCTCTCTCCCTCTCTCTAAAATCAATAAAAACATATTTTAATACATTTGCACAAAGAGAACGTCCAGGTGATGGAAGAAGGAAGAAGACATTGGACAGAGGGAGAGCTTTCCCAGGTGTCCAAAGGGAGACTTCACAGCAGACCCCAGATTCTGGTCAGGGGGCCTCTGCCCCCCCCCCGCCCCCCCATGAGTGCTGAGCGACCCCCGGGAAGGTGCAGCGCTGGGGCCGCGCGGGTGGAGCTGGAGGAGGCTGGGGGCGCTGGGGCCACTCCTCCCCAGCCCAGAGGGGACCTCGCCGACCCACCTGACAAGCTGTGCGTTGTCGTGGGACTTGCGAGGCAGGAGCTTGGCCTTCCTCCAGTCCAGGAACTCGTGCAGGCTGGCGAAGGGGTCCTGGCCGATGGGGCACTTGTCGATGTCGCTCCACACCTCCACGCCCACCAGCACAATGCGGATGTTCAGCGGCCTGTAAAACTGAGGGGGACAGACACCCTCTGGGGATTGCGGGAACGGGGACTGGGACGCAGAGCAGGGCAGATCTGTGCGCTTGAACCTCACCGAGCGGGTGAGAATAACACCGCCACGCGCCCCCCCTCCCCCCTTCCCAGGCATGTAAGACGGCGTGTAGGGCCCGACGCCCAAGGACGCGCCCACTGGGTCCGCACGCTCCGGTGACGGCCTCTCCGCTGTCTCCCTGGTGTGTGTGGAAGCTCGCACTTGAAATGACTCCTTGGAGGTGAAAATACGCAGAGACTGGAGTCTCGCTGGATCCGCTACATGGCAGCTGCCGCCTGCCAGCTCCTACCTGCCGCAGGCAAAGCCCCCTGAGCGAGGGCGTTCACTCTGCCAAAGAGCCGCTTGTGCACCTGCAGCCGCACGTCCTGCCCGTGCGTTACTGCAAATGGATCTGTGGTGACCTTTTGACAAAGCCTCAGACTGGCCGACGCTATCATATCCTGTCGCCCCCATCAATGGAGGAGGTTTGTAGACATCGGGAGCTTTCGGAATCATAGGCACACGGGCCCTTTTGCCGAACTCGGATGACCCACGGTTCTTCCCGAAGCCGGAGGCTGGCTCACCAAGTGTCCCGGGGAAGATCTGTTACTAAGAAGTTCCTCTCCCAGGCAGGAGACCAGCCCAGGTGCACCCCCCTCGTTAGTATTCATGGCCAAGGCCATGGCCACAGCCCCGCCCACAAGCAGCCGCCCTGGCTCAGAGGTAGGAGGGGCAGCTCTCCCAATGGGAAGGGATGGTTTGTCCCAGACACGCTGCGGGATGAGCAGCCAGAGGAGAGGTCAGAACTACCCGTGGCCCCGACTGCCTTGCTGGCCCACGTGCATCACAAAGACAGGGAGGCGGCTCTGTCCTCAGGGTCGGGGGGGTGGGGGGTGGGTACGGGATCGAGTGGCTGGCTGCACCACCTTCCGGTGCCTGTGATGTGAGGGCAGGGCCCAATGATTCTCAGGTGGCAGAGAGAATAACTCGGCTGGAGACAGGCTAAAGTCCAGCCCCAGCAGGAGCAGGTCCTGTTCGGAGTTGCTAGAAGCATCTGGGCCAACCAGGACCGAAGTCCCAGGAGCTCCGTGTTGGACTTCAGCAGGGTTCCAATGCAGGGAGCTCAGGACGTGCTCCCCGGGCTGAGCAGCGTGGCCGGGGTTGACCCAGGGCGGCGGCTCGTCTTCCCCGCTCATCTCCTCCTCCGCTGGCGCACCGGGCGGGCAGGAGGCACGGGAACACGGGCCGCATCTCGGAGCAGACACTGACGGAGCAGGCCACGCGGCCCACGCAGACGGCACTTCGGGCGTCAAGTTCATATGCACATGAGACCTTATATGGCCTGAAGGCTGCCCAGCGGCTTGTGGTGTAATCAGCACTTGCTCGCAGGCTCCCAGCCAGGCTCCCGGGGCAGAATGGAGTCCAGGGGCACCCTGGCCCTCTGACGCCTGTGTCCGCTGCCGTCCTGTGACGGGAGGCTGCATTTTCAGGGGGTTCATGTCAAAGGTAACGGTGACCAGAAGGCAGAGACGCCCGTGTCCACAGCAGCTGGCTAAGCGTGGGCTTTAGGCATCCCCTGTGGGGGTCCCGGTTTGCCTCTAACAGGTGTCATGCGTGTAGAAGCAGCGCCTGGGTCTGGGAGGGCCTCTGTGGCTGCTGCTCCAGGAGCCGTTCCCCGTGACGCCGGCTGTCATTTCCATCTGGGTCCCTCCAGCCACACCCGGAGCGGATCTCACACACGACGGGTGTAAGGCACAGCCCCTGCGCCGACGCCGATGCTGCTGGGATCTGTCACTGCGCTGAGCGCACCTGTAGCCGCCTGACCCTCCCCTCACTGCCTGCTGACTGCTCCTCCCAGGGCGGCGAGGGCCTCCTCTTAAGGAGCACGAATTAATACGTAAGGAGCACCCACCAGGCCTGGGCACAGGGACCAGGGTGCACGCGGACGGGCCGTGGTCTGGGACCAGCTGACGGGCTCACCAGTAACCCAGCAGCAGCAGCATTTGCTCGGCTCTGGCTATGGGCTCGGCTCGGCACTGGCACAAACAGGAAGGACCAGGCTGCCCTTGCCCTCGGCTCCTGAATGCTCAGGGTCAGCAGGAAGCTCACAGCCACCATCACCCTTAATGCCGAGGAGCCACCTGCCAAGAAAGGATGCGGCGCGAGTTCAGGGAGCCCCAGGCCCGGGAAGGCTTGGGAGGACGTGGACCTGAGGGCTGTCTCCTGGTCCAACGCGGAAGCTGTGACCTCAGGCCCCCGTGTGGGACGGGAGGGGAGACCCACAGGAGAAAGACCGGAAGACACGAAATCCATGGGGGACAAGTCCTCCCACGCAGTCGCGGAGGCTCAGCCTTAAAGAATCTGCAGCTGCTGCTGCTTTCTTCGTGAATCAGAAGTAGGGAGATGGGGGCGGGGGGGGGAGGTTAATGAGGCGGGTCCCCAGCCCTTCATTTGGCAGCCATTCCTCCCCCCACCCCCCATAGAATCAGCCCGGAGGGGGGGGGGGGATGTCTCTTAGTTCCCGCCTCAGGGGTTGCCAGAAAGGCAAGCGCTCTGTCGGACTGACAGAACTTCCTGAATGTTCCAGAATGTCACCTTTGGCAGGACATCGCTGGTGGGTCTCCCAGTCTGAGCCATCCGCTCTCCCGCAGCCAAGTGATTATTACTCAGAAGGGCCAAGAAGAGCCGAGAGCTCTGCAAACGAGGAAGTTGCCACCGGGACAGTCATTGTTTATGGGGCCGGGACACGTGGAGAACGCAGAGCTGCCAACGGCATCTGGGTTCCTCGCTAGTGAGGCGCATCCCTTCGTGCACACGGTGCAGAGCGGGGAGGGGCCTGGGCACCCCACCAGCGACTCCAGGCCTTGCAGGGGCAGCCGCACACGTGTGCCCAGCAGTTCAGCTCCCTCCCACCAGACACAGGGCCCACCAGCGGGCAGACTCCGCGAGGCCGTCAGAACTTTGCCCCGTGATTACCGGTGCGTGTTATTAACAGACTCCCAAACGCTCACTTTTGGTTGTGCAGGCGGAAGCAGGATAGAACAGACTGTAGAGAAACCAGCAGGGAGAACGAACGCATCACTTTAACAGGGACTCCGGCATCTGCAGGCTCGGTTTCACGCCGTCCGCAGCCTTTCACCCCCAAGGTCTGACTCCCGGTGCGCAGGGCATGGCGCTGCCTGCACGGCCGAGTAGAATATTCCCATTTCTAGAAGGGCCGTGGCTTCCATTTTTCGGAAAATGTTGGAAATCCCAATCCCTCAGATATAACAGGCATGTTTGTAAACATGGCCACTGCGAGGCGTCCTCAAACTGCCATTTCTGAGGCACCTGGTCCCACTCCCCTCCCACCCTCTGCACGGGCTGGAGACAGGCGATCGCTGAGGACTACGGCCGTGTAGGACAGCGGTCAGATCGTGTCCCTCGTGAGGACCCATGGGAGACTCGGGTGCCCTGGCCCCACTCGGACACCCGGCTGCAATCCCTATCAAAGTGGCAGACGCCCTGTGTGGGCTGGAGCATCGGTCCCAAGCTCTGCTCAATCCCGTGCGGGTGTGCTCCGTGCAGGCGTGCTCCGTGCAGGTGTGCTCCGTGCAGGGGTGCTCCGTGCAGGGGTGCTCCGTGCAGGGGTGCTCCGTGCAGGTGTGCTCCGTGCAGGGGTGCTCCGTGCAGGTGTGCTCCGTGCAGGGGTGCTCCGTGCAGGTGTGCTCCATGCAGGTGTGCTCCGTGCAGGGGTGCTCCGTGCAGGGGTGCTCCGTGCAGGTGTGCGCCGTGCTGGGGTGCTCCGTGCAGGTGTGCTCCATGCAAGTGTGCTCCGTGCAGGTGTGCTCCGTGCAGGGGTGCTCCGTGCAGGTGTGCTCCGTGCAGGTGTATCCCAGGCAGGCATGCTCCGTGCAGGTGTGCTCCATGCAAGTGTGCTCCGTGCAGGTGTGCTCCGTGCAGGGGTGCTCCGTGCAGGTGTGCTCCGTGCAGGTGTGCCCCGTGCAGGTGTATCCCAGGCAGGCATGCTCCGTGCAGGTGTGCTCCGTGCAGGGGTGCTCCGTGCAGGTGTGCTCCGTGCAGGCGTGCTCCGTGCAGGTGTCCCCCGTGCAGGTGTATCCCAGGCAGGCATGCTCCGTGCAGGTGTGCTCCGTGCAGGTGTATCCCAGGCAGGCGTGCTCCGTGCAGGTGTATCCCAGGCAGGCGTGCTCCGTGCAGGTGTATCCCAGGCAGGTGTGCTCCGTGCAGGCGTGCTCCTTCCCTGTGCAGGCGTGCTCCATGCAGGTATGCTCCGTGCAGGCGTGCTCCGTGCGAGCATGCCCCGTGCAGGCGTGCTCCATGCAGGTATGCTCCATGCAGGTGTATCCCAGGCAGGCGTGCTCTGTGCAGGCATGCTCCGTGCAGGTGTGCTCCGTGCAGGTGTGCTGCTGAAGCACGTGGTGTAGACAGTGTCCCCACCTCCTTGGGGACAGGCAGAGGGAGGACCTTTGGTGGTCAAAGGCCCTGGGGTTAGACCTGACTCCCAGGGTCCCCTCCAGCTCTGCCCTGGCCTTTGTCACTGCCTGGTCCTCAGGGAGGGTTGGCCACCTGCTGGCCGGGCTGGAAATCAGTATCCACGTCCCAGATGGTGGCGCCCTCGTTGGCATGGGGCGGGCCGAGGGGGCGGAATGTGGAGCCGTGGGCTCCTCCTGGGGAGCTTAGGGGGAGGCGGGCTTGGAGTGCTCCAAAGGGCGGATGCGCCCGCCATGGCTCGGGATCTGACTGGGAGCCTGCGATGCCGGGACTGGGCTCTGCCTGGCCAGCAGGGAGCCCGGAGGAAGGTGGCCCAGGCCGTAGTCCGGGCAGCCTGGGCGGCATCTCCTGCAGCCGCTCCGGGCCCCACGGTTCTGTGCTCCCAGGACAGGAGTCCCCGGTCCAGCCCGGACCAGGGCGGCTCCCCGGCTCCCTGCTCAGACGGATAAGGTGAGCTTCATCTCTCACCTCGCTTCCAAACATTGACACGATCTGAGTGACTGAATGACCCGGGAGAGAACGTACCTTGTCCACGTGGTTAGCGATCTCTATGAGTCGCTGCTTCACTTTTCCCAGGTCTTTTCCTTGCCTCTGAAACTTCATAATTTGAGATGTCAGCATTAATCACAGCAAGCATGTCACTCAAAGCTCATCTTCCCTCCCAGCCCCTGGGCATGTGCAGCCGCAGGCTTCACAAACCCTCCCAGCTCCTTGGGCAATGAACCCCATTCCCCCCCAGAAACCTCCCGCCCGGGACTCCCCGAAGCACCCCGAAACTCGCCACGCCACTGAGCGCTCCTACGCCAGTAACTCCTGCCTCGCCCCAGCCGCACACGTGGCGGGCAGTCACCGTTTAGGTCAGTGGTCGGCAAACTCATTAGTCAACAGAGCCACATATCAACAGGACAACGATTGAAATTTCTTTTGAGAGCCAAATTTTTTAAACTTAAACTATATAGGTAGGTACATTATTATTAACTTAATTAGGGTACTCCTAAGGCTTAGGAAGAGCCACACTCAAGGGGCCAAAGAGCCGCACGTGGCTCGCGAGCCGCAGTTTGCCGGCCACGGGTTTAGGTAAAGGGAAGGCAGCCCCAAGCCATTTCTCAGATCGCCAACTTGGGGTTTTCAAAATTGGATTTATTGGGGTGACACTGGTTCACAAAAGCACACTTGATGTTCACTTCCTCGCAAAGTCCTTCCTATTTGTTTTTAAACTTAGATAGTGAAGGACCCGGAGGGGAGGGGATGACAAGCTAATGCATCGCCCCTCGGCTGACCTCCAGACGGGCGGGCTCTGAGAAACCGTCCAGCCAGTTCCCTCCGCCCGTGCTGCGCCCCCGAGGAAATGGCACCTCATTCATCACAGGCAGCAGAGGCCGAAAGGAATACGGAGAAGAAACTCCCAAAGAGTCTAATTAAAAATCCATTCAGAGGAAGCGCGAACGTGGCCCCGAGCCCCGCTCCCCGGAGGGCAGGGCTTCCGGCCGCGTCCCTGTCCCTCTCGCGCCTTCGTTTTGGTCGAGGACACATCGGACATGTTCAAAACGCTGCTTTCCCCCCAAACGGTTCAGGAATCCGTTCTCCCCCCCCCCCCCCCCCGGCCCCGTTTGGAGAGCTTAGCGATGGAGCAACAGTTTCCTTGTTTGCTTTCCAGTCTTGGGCTTTTATTTTGTAGTTTCAGACACACTTTTAATATTTTATACTTGACGCTACCAGAAAGCCCCTTTTCCGTGACTTGTTTACATGCTCCTAAGGGCCCGGAGTAGAGGAGGTTAATTAAAGCAAATCGTGACCTACTGAGCATCTTCTTTCCTTTTCCTCTTTTTTTTTTTTTTTTTAAACCAGCCTTACGACCGAGGCATTTCCAGCTCTCACCTCGCGGTTGTCGGCGACAATAACCAGCTCCACGTACTTGGTCATCTGCAGGGTCTCTCTCTTATGCTGCAACAGAAAACACGGGGTCAATTCCCTGGACGCCTCCCGGGGCACCCAGAGCACGGTCACCCTCTCCCCACCCAAGCACTTCACTAAGGGGCCCGCATCCGCACCCCCGGCTCCCACCCGCCCACCCGTCCACATGGTCACCTCCATCCCCAGCGACCTCTGTGGGACCTTCTCAACTCAAGTGACCAGTTTCTTTCATTTCCAGACATATTTTTATTGATTTCAGAGAAGCAGGGAGAGGGAGAAAGAGATGAAAACATCAATGATGAGAGAGAATCATGGATGGACTGCCTCCCGCACCCCCACGCTGGGGATGGAGCCCACAACCCGGGCCTGTGCCCTGACCAGGAATCAAACCATGACCTCCTGCTTCCTAGGTCGATGGTCAACCACTGAGCCACGCCGGCCCAGCTTGAGTGACCAGTTTCCATTCATCTAGGAAATCCTTGCAAAGGGAGTTCACATTCCAGCCGAGTCCCTGACTTTAGGGTCGGAACCAGCATGTGCCAAAACACAGAAACATGCTCCTGCCTGCACCAGGAGCGCCCCCCCCCCCGTCCCCCCCACTGCGGCCGCGCATTCCGGGCCTTGAGCAGCACATTTTGAAGGTCACCCCAGAAAATGACGTCACAGCGCCCCAGGGGCACTCCCTTTGCCTTGAGGGTCCCGTTTTGTGAGGTGAGGAAAGTGGAAGAGAACAGAGTTTGGGCCGGAATTGCGTGACCCTCTGAAGAAACACAGCTCGGGCCACGCCAGGCGGGGCATTGAAAAACCTGGTTAGAAGCAACGGCAGGCGGGCGGTCTGGGAGCAGGGAACAGCCAGGCTGATAATCCGGGAACAGAGCCAGCGAGAGAGAGGTGTTAGGAGGAAACTGGAAAGGAGCAAAGAGAAAAAGAACAGAAAGAAACCGTGTCGAGAAAAACTCCGCCCCCGGAGAGAGAGGGGAACAGCCGGGAAGGACGCGGGAACTGTTTCCAGGGGTGAGGACGGAGGAGGTGCAGGCAGCACGGTGGGAGCCCCCAGCCCATCAGTTTCCTCAGAAAACATGTAACTCTCCGTGAAGCCCTGGGAGAATCCCAGAGGCGTTGTTAGGAGAACGAGAGCAAGTCACGGAGGGTGGTCTCAGAAAGCAAACATCGCACACAGAGCGCAAAGCCTTCTGTTCCTCCGTGGACGCAGCTGCGGGAGCCGGGCTGAGCTGGTCGCGGGCCTGCCGCGCCTCTGGGTTCTGAGTTCACGCCCGCACGGCAGCGGCTCGGAGCCGCCTGTCATAACCGCTCGCAGACAAAAGGAAACACGACCCAGGCGCGCTGTGCATCAGCGGCTCGTCTCACACCCCGAGGGAAGCATCTTCCACACAGCAAATCCCATCAGCGAGGATCTTGCAAACTGATTTTTACAAGAAAAATGTTTGCGTCCCAGCGGCCCCCCCGCCCCGTGCTGATGCGTGGGCGTAGGGCCCCTGAACAGACCCGGAACCTGCTGCAGGGAGAAAAAGGAAGCTCCGCACCAGGCAGAACGTCTCCGCCCTCCAGCGTCACGGGAAAGAGTGACACGCGCTGAGGCTCCCTGTTGGAGGTGTGTTTTGAGGTGACAAGTACGTGTGTTTTGAGGTGACAAGTATGTGCTTATACAGAAAAAACGATTAGCGCCGTGGTAGCCAGTGCTGGCCACAAAATGAGACACCTTCTCAAACAGTGAGGCTCCTGCCCGGCCCCCATGGCTCAGTGGTTGAGCGTCGACCTATGAATCAGGAGGTCAGGGTTCGATTCCCGGTCAGGGCACAGGCCCGGGAGGCAGGCTCCATCCCCAGTGGGGGGCGTGCAGGAGGCAGCCGATCCATGATTCTCTCACATCACTGATGTTTCTCTCTCTCTCCCTCTCCCTTCCTCTCTGAAATCAATAAAATTAAAAAAAAATAAATAAAAACAGACTGAGGCTCCTGCCCCTTTTCCTCACTGGGGTGTGCAAGAAGCAGAAATCACCTGCCCCCTTCAATTCCCCGATTCACTGTTAACAGATTCAGCTAATTATATAGAAGAAAATAAAGTTCTACAAATAAAAAAAATAAATGAACCTCCCGTTGGAAACCCCCTAGAAAGGGCCCTGGTTGTTTCGACGCTTCCACCTTTGAGCCGGCAAAGGGGAGGGGCCCGCGGGCCGTGGACATTTCCCAGTGGCCCTGGGTCACCCTGTAGAAAGCCGTGGTTCCAGCTCATGACAACAAACACGTGCGCCCCGCTCCCGTCTCTGCAGCCGTCCGAGGAGCCCAGACTTTCTCATGAGCTCAGGGCACTGCACGCTGTGGGGGAAGCTGACCACACAGCCGCAGGCCCCGGGGGCCGCCCACGCCCTGCGGTTCGCCCCGTCCGCTGCGCTCACAGAGGCTTCAAGCACCCCCACGTGGGTCCTGCCTCTCGGTCCGCCTGGTTTTGTAAGAAACAAATCCTATTTAACCTTTTTGATGGGCAGAGCGACCTTTGAAACTGGCTGCTTGATTCAGTGTTCCTTCTGGGGTTCGGAACAAAAGCCCTTCCCCGAGCGGAGAGGAACACACGCCTGAGAGTGGCCCGCAGTCTCTGCTCCACCGCGGAGGCCGAGGCGCCTGGAACCTCGCTCCAGAGGGAAGCAGTTCCCAGGCCTCTCCAGTCGTCACGGCCAAGTTCCCAGAGAGAGAACATCCCCCAAGCATGTCGCAACAGGAACCCTGGCGCGGGAGCTTATCGCAGCCCCACGCAAGCTCGAGAAGCGCCGTTGGGATCAGGGTGACGTAAGGCCTCGCTGTAGTCTTCCTCCGCGTGAGCCGCACTGTCCTTCATTCACGCACCCCACAGACGCCTCCCGGGAGCCCTCCACGTGCCAGGCACCGTGCTGGGTCCCGGGATACAGGGACGGAGGGAGACCCAGGCCCTGCCCTGATGCGGCTCACATGCTGGGCGGAGGGGGTGACGGTACAGAGTTAACAAACATCAAGCATCGTCTGGGAAAAGCACAACCAAGGAGAGAAACCATTTGGACTCGGATGGGGAGGGGAGCTCACTGAGACCCGGGGGGCGGGGCAGGAACCTGGCGCGTTTTCACCTGGAAGACTGCGCCGGCCGCTGTAGGAAAGGAGCCTCGCTTACCCTGCGAGGCGGCCTGGAGGGGCCTGGAGGGCGTGACGCTGAGAGAAATCAGCAGGAAGACAAGTCCCACACAATCTCATGCGTGTGGAATCTACTGAGCAAAATAAACGGACGAACAAAAAAGATCCAGAGACATGGAAGCAGGGACCGGACCGGCGTCTTTCAGAGGGAAGTGGGGGCGGGGAGGATCAACCAATGAACTTGTATGCGGATACGCATCACCCATGGACACAGACAATGGGGGGTGAAGGCGGGGTGGGGTGGGGGGGCTGGAAGGGGCCAATGGGGGGGGGGAGGGGACATCTGTGATACTTCCAGCAACGAAGATTTAAATAAAAAAGACGCAGCAGGAACCCACACCTGCAGATTCTGGAAGCTCCGCTCACGCCGCTGAGATGCTTGAGATGCTGAGCCGGGGCCAAGGCCGCGGCAGGACTCTGGCTGCTCTCCAGCCGGGGGTGGGGCCTGTCCCTCAGCCGGAAGCGAAGGCGGAAGGCGGCCGTGAGGGAGGGATTCGGCGCGCCTGCCGCCCTCAGCCGGTCTTCGAAGGGGTCCGGCCCGTTCCTGACTCCAGCCACCGCTCAGCGCCGCCCGCACACACATTCCTACCGCGGTTCCGGCCGCAGCACTAGCGGGGCGTCCGCTGAAGACCACGGCCCGTCCAGACGCCCAGAGCCGCGGGCCCATCTCCCGGCGGCTGCGCTTGGGGAGACAACTGTCACCCTGACACCCCGTTTGTACAAAATAAGCTGATGGACAAAATGGAGCCAGAGACACAGAAGCATGCAGCACCGCCTCCCAGAGAAAGACGACGTTGGCGCTTCCATGTGATGCATCGTTTTCCCCAGGAACGAAGGGGAAACAGCACAGACAATCCTAAGGAAGGGCCATTCAAAAACAGGCACATTTGCTCAGGGATGCACCCTGTGATGGTGCCGGCAGCGGGGCTGTGGCCCCTTCCTGCAGGCAGGCTGGCGGGCAGGGCTGGTGCGTGGCGGGAGGCCCTGGGCGAGGCTCTTCGGGCTCACGAACCCGCAGGGCAGAGATCGGACCGTGTAGCTCAGACCCGGCACCACTGGCATCTGACGGGGCGGCCTTGTGAAGCCATAGACAATAGCTCGGCCCGCAGGGCGGCCGGCGCCGACCCGGAGCCCGGCCTGAGCCCTGCTGCTCCGCCAGGGGAGATGGAGACTCTGCCTGCAGACCAGCCTTTGCCAGTCCCCATCGCAGGGCCGGTGGCTGCAGGAAAAGGCCGGGCGGCTGTTGCCCTGTGTCCACAAGGTCAGTTCTTCAGCTGCAGCCGCACCTACTCGCGAGTGTGAAGCCCAGGCCGTGTGAGGCCTGACCGGGCCCCGTCCTGCTCCCACAGGGGCCGCCCGGCTCTCGGGCACACGCTCCCGTCCCAAACGCCCCACTTGCCGAGAAGGACTCCTCGCATCGCTTTGTTACTAATTGCACGTTAAGTCAAGGCCGTTTTCTCTTCCATAAACAACAACCACAACGCTTTCCAGAGAGAAACACGGAGAATGAGGCGGACGCCACGGGGGCCTTCCCGGCTCAGAGTACAGGCCCCTTTCCCACCAGCATTTAACCAACAGCACTTCCATTCCGGGGTTCCACACCGCCCTGAACCTCGAGATGACAGGAACCACTGTGCCCATCACGGCCGAGAGAGCTGCAGATCAGCTACAAAATGACAATCCGGCCAGAGCAGGGCCCATGCACGCCCGTCCACGCGAGACGCCAAATATACTGGGGTGTCATTTCAATTGTCAGGTCATAAATCTCCACGCGGACGACACGGGTTCAACAAGATACTCAGAGCAAAGCGCCTCCATAGATACATGCAAATGTCTTCCTTGTTCATGACTGACAGGGCCACGGCCGCCTGGCATCCGACCTGAGGCCTGGGATCAAAGGAAGGCGGGCCCACGAGGGAAACAGACATGCCGGGCTGGCCTGGGGACTCCCACTGTTTTTAAAAAGTATTTTTAAATTGATTTCAAAGAGGAAGGGAGAGGGAGAGAGAGATAGAAACATCCATGATGAGAGAGAATCATGGATCGGCTGCCTCCTGCATGCCCCCTACTGGTATCAATCCCACAACCCGGGCATGTGCCCTTGACCTGGAATCGAACCCTGACTCCTGGTTCAGAGGTCGACGCTCAACCCCTGAGCCATGTGGCCGGGCCCCCCCTCATTTTTGAGAGTGTCCCGCGCCCTGTGGACCCAGGAGAAACTGGATGAGGAGGGTCAGCAGCCATTTGGGGAGGTTTTAGGGCGCTGCCCCTGGGGGAGCTGGTCCACTTCTGTCCACTGGGCGGGGAGAGATCATTCCAGTTCTGCGTAAAGGGGGGACCTCTGAGAAGCAGACCCAGGGACAGAGGACCTGAAACCGGGCCCCACAGACAGTCCAGGAGGAGAGGACAGGCCCCAGCCGGGCGGACTCGGGGAGCGACACCTCTTAGCCACGCCCCATGGGCCGACCCAGGGCACCTCTGCTCTGCAGGTCATCGCAAACACCCGACTGCAAAGCAGACCAGACACCAGGAGCCTCCACGTGGCACCTCCCGCAGAGGGGCCGGCTGAGAGCCGCGGGCAGGGTCCCTCGCTGGCAGGTGGGGTCTGGAGGTGTCCGTGTCTGCTGGGGCTCCGTCCACAGACACGCCCGCCTCCAGATAAGCCAGCGACTCTATCCCCCGCCACCACCCCTGTGGAAAAGGCCCTCAGATGTCCCAGCACCGGGTGTCCCTCGCTGGGGCCCAGGGTCCCCAGAATCACGCCCTCGGCTCTCCCGCCTCCCCTTCTCACCCGCGTTCGGGAGGGCGGTGGGCGCCTGCCGCCTGCAGTGGGGCCCGAGGCGCTGGGATGGGACCCGCATGACCCCCAGACGCCCTTCAGGGCTTCGGCCGCGAAGAGCTTGTATCTGTCGGTTACATTGTCCATCGGCTCTAGGACATAGCTTTTATTTTCAAACGTAATGAGTCCCCTGTGGAGAGAGAGAGAAGAAGAACATCTGAGTTTCAAGGGCAGCTGCTTGTTTATGGCCGGGACCCGGTTCTGAGCCAGACAGAGGACGAAGGAGAAACGCCAGTGTGTGTCCGCCCAGGCTCTCACCGCAAAGGACGTTTCTGTGACACGTTCCCATGGATGCGTTTCGCAAATCTTTTGAAAAGTGAGTCTGAGAAATTTTTTGTTTCGAATCATTTTGGGGAAAGAATAGACTATGTTTAGCCTTTATATATAGATTTTAAAAAAATATATATTTTTTATTGATTTCAGAGAGGGAGAGATAGAAACATCAATGATGAGGGAGAATCATTGATTGGCTGCCTCCTGCACGCCCTACAGGGATCAAAGGCATGTGCCCTTGACTGGGAATCGAACTGTGACCTCCTGGTTCATAGGTCAATGCTGAGCCATGTGGCTGGGCTATCGAAACATCCTTAAATTGGAAAAGGAGGCAGCATTTCCGCACCCAACAGTCTGGGAGAAAGAGTTTGAAGCAGTAACATAGCTATTTCGAGCGGAATTGGGGCTCACATACCCACAAGGCAATCCCTCGTTATTCAGTGTTCCCGCCACCTCTCCTGTTTCGTGGCGTGTGACGGGCAGTGGCAGAAACGGACGGTGCCGGGAAGCTCGCACCCTGATCGGGAAGTCGGCGCCGGGACGCAGGGGAGGATGAGACTCCGTCAGAGAGTCCGGCAGGGTGTCACCGGCAGCCACAGCACGTGACGGCTGAGCGAGGGGGACCAGTGGGGTTTGGGGGTTGCGGGGGGCTATTTCCAACCCCCGCAGGTGGATTCACAATCAACATCGCTGCTGCCGTGTGCTCCCCGCCTCCCATGGCCCCAACCCGCGTCCTCCTGGACCCCCACGCGGGTCACACAGGCAGGTCTGCCCCTCTCCGGGGCAGGGGGCTTGCATTCTCCTTCCCTGACAAGTTCTTTATGAAACCAGGTTTCCAGTTTACAAGGACTAATAGGGGATTTTAGTTTATGAAAGTTGATTTTAAAAAGCCCCAGTGAAGCCCTAGCCAGTTTGGCTCAGTGGACAGAGCATTGGCCTGTGGGCTGAAGGGTCCCGGGTTCGATTCCAGTCAAGGGCACGTACCTCGGTTGCAGGTTGCATCCCAGGTCCTGGTTGGGGTGCATGCGGGAGGCAACCAACTGATGTGTCTCTCTCCCATGCTGGGGTCCAACTCCAGCAGGTCCAGGGGTCCCCAAAGGTGTGGACGGAGTCGGCGAAGAAGGAATGACACAGAGACAGCGTTCAGTTGATCAGCAGCCTAGCCAGGATCTCTAGCCAGGATCTCCAGGCAAGTTCTGGTCTGGATCTCCAGCGAAGTTCTGGTTAGGATCTCCAGCCAGGTTCTGTGTCCATGTTCTCTTGCTAGGTTCTCCAGCCAGGTTCGCCAGGTTCTGTAGCCATGTTCCCTCGCTAGGTTCTCCAGCCAGGTTCTGTCCAGGTTCTCCAGCCAGGTTCAGTCACCAGGTTCTAGTCAGGTTCTCTTGCCATGTTCTATCCAGGTTCTGTAGCCAGGTTCTGTCTCTAGGATCTTCAGCCAGGTTCTCTCGTTAGGTTCTGTCTCTAGGTTCTGTTGCCAGTTTCTGTCCAGGATCTTTTGCCATGTTCTCTCCAGTGAAGTTCTTCTGTCTCTAGGTTCTGTGTAGGTTCTGTGTCTAGGTTCTGTGTCCTGTTGTCTTGTTACATCTGTACTTATACCAGTTGATTCCAATCCTATCAGTCTCTATTCCAAAGGTTAGGGCGTTTCTTATCTCCATTCCAGGGAGTAAAGATTATGTAGCTTAAGCATGATTGTTCGTAGTTAAAGTGATTAATTACCCGCCTGGCACTTAGTTAAGGGGTTTTATTCCCTCCCTAACTTCAGGGGAAAATCCCTACCTGGGGAAACCACCTTTCTCAGAGAGGTGACCTTGGTTAAAACACATAGTGCCAAGAAGGTGAGCAAACATATTAAGAACAGTATGCCATATATGCCAGGTCCCTTGAAACAGCAAGGATGGACCGGCTCCCGACACTCCCACCCATGTCTCTCTCCCTCTGTCTCTCCCCCTCCCTCCACTCTCTCTAAAAATCAATGGAAAATATTATCGGGTGAGGATTAACAACAAACAAGAGTAAAACGCCCAAACGCGGAAAGAGAACTTGACAAAACAGGCCGGGGAGCGTGGGAAAAGGAACGCCCTTGCGGGGAAAATACATGGATCAGCCGGAAACCAGCGCTGCCACCAGGGAGGAGGTGGCGCTAACGCTGGCCGTGCACGAGGGCTCTCTGGCTGTCACTGGGTGTCCGTGGGCCGAACGCTCACAGCGACACAGGGCGCCAACGTCACATCATGAGACGCCAGCGGCTGAAAAGGCCTGTCCGCTTCCCGGGAAATTCACAGGCGTCCCTCGGTCAGGGACCGCTCTCCTCTCCTGTGGCTCTGAAGTCATCCAGGAGCCAGATGCTGCGAGGCCGGGGCGGGGGCGGGGGGAGGGCTCCCCAACGCAAGCAGCTGGGCCCGCAGCGCCGCTGAACGAGGTCATTGCTCTGAGCATCCTCGTCATTCATCATGCGGCTCTGGGGCGCTCGGAACCGCGGCAGCCAAGAACCAGGCTCTTGGACACATCGACAGGGGATGTTCTCACAGCCGCCCTGGCCCCGGCGAGATAAGCGCGTGTGACTGAAGCTGCACGTCACAGGCAGTTAGCGGTGCACTCGGAGCTGGACGCAGCCCAGCCGCCTTGGAAAGCGGGGCTCTGCTCCCCCCGGTGGGGCGGGCAGAGAGGGTGAGAGAGCATCTGGGAGGCCTGCGGGAGCGAGGAGGCTGCGGTTCCTTCTCCAGGGGCGTGGGGGGCTGGACCGGCCGCCATGGGCGGGGCCGGGGCGGAGGCCAAGTTCTGGGCAGCGAGTCGGCCTGGGGAATGGAGGCAGCAGGGGAGACAGGGGTGACTGGGGGGGATCAGGACCCCACTCCTGGTGCTCAGGGCCATGCCCAGGAGACCCCGCAGAGCTGCACTCTGGGCATGGTCCCCACCGCCAGGGGCATGCAGGTAGCACTCACGAGCTGTGCCCCATCTGGGTCCCACGCCGTCCTGCCTCCCCCAGCGCTTTTTCCAGAGGGTTGTGGGCCTGGGTCAGGGTCGAGTGTGATGGAGGCAGAAGTCAAAGGGCCCCATGAAACAGAGCGGCTGCTTTTTAAATTTAATTAATTTTTTTGTGTGTGTGCCCTTGGCCGGAATCGAACCTGGGACCCTTCAGTCCGCAGGCTGATGCTCTATCCACTGAGCTAAATTTAATTAATTTTTAAATTGATTTCAGAGAGGAAGGGAGGGGAGAGAGGGACGGAAACATCAATGATGAGAGAGAATCACTGATCGGCTGCCTCCTGCCCACCCCACACTGGGGATGGAGCCTGCAACCCGGGCCTGTGCCCTGACTGGGAATCGAACCCTGACTTCCTGGTTCCTAGGTTGATGCTCAACCCCTGAGCCGCGTGGCCGGGCTGAGCAGCTGCATTGAAACCAGGCAGCCTTACTTCAAACTCAGAAACCTGTGGTTTTCCTGCGATGGAAGCGAAGAGGAACCGATTCCAGTTGTAAGTGGACGTGTTAGCTTCCCGTGGCCGCTCAGGGCCCCTCTCCTGGGTGAGCGTCAGTCCTCCTCCCGCTCCGTGTCCATCCCGCAGGCGCCTCCGTGTCCATCCCGCAGGCGCCTCCGTGTCCATCCCGCAGGCGCCTCCGTGTCCATCCCGCAGGCGCGGTGCGAGAGGCAGGCGAGGCTCCTGTGAAGGCTCCCTCCGCAGGGCCAGGCGCCCGGCGCGGGGGCAGGGGCTCGCCTCCTGCTCCGAGTTAACAGCGAGAAGGTAGGGATCCCCGGCCGCTCCGCGTTCGCTTGCTGATTTAATTTTCTCCGAGGAAGACTTCGCTCCATGTCATGCGCCCCCGTGGCGGCGGGAGGCCGTGCGCGGACTGAAGCGCCGTCCTTTCCCGAGGAGCTCACAGCAGAGCCAGCGGCCAGCGGCCCGCGCCACGTCTGACGCAGTGAGGCGCGGGGCGGTGGGCACAGGCGCACGTGGGGCTCATTCCAGCGAGTAATTCCACGTGAGCTACTCCCGCACCATCCACACAGCCACCCGCTCCCCCCCCACGCGCAGCGCTCGCCGGCTCCCGGGTCCACGTGCGGACATCTCTCGCCCACGGTTCCCACCCCAGTGTAATTTGCTACCAGGTTTGGGCGGCGCCCCACGAGGTACAATGGTGAGCTGTTACAAAAGGTTTCAGGAGTAATGACGGACCATCCACAATGTCACCGCAGCTGGCTTATGGAGAGAGCGCCTCGCCAGGCCCCTTTCAAAGTCACAGCTTTAGCCTGGCCGGTGCTGCTCAGTGGGGAGAGGACCGGCCTACAAACCCAGCGGCTGCAGGTTCAACTCCCAGCCAAGGGCAGGTACCTGGGTGGCAGATGCGACTCCCAGTCCCGGTCGACGCGTGCAGGAGGCAGCCAATGGATGTGTCTCTCACATCCATGTCTCTCTGTCTTTCCCTCCCTTTTCCATTCTCTCTAAAAATCAATGGAAAAATATCCTCAAGTGAGGATTAACAACAACACAAAAATCAGTGTGTCTGGCTGTTTTCTACACACGGGGAGCATCTTCCTCGCTGTTTCCACCTCCCAGCCTGGTGGGACTGGCTGCTCCGCAGGTGATGAGTGTGTAAGCAGGTGAGGAGTGTGTAAGCAGGTGATGAGTGTGTAAGCAGGTGAGGAGTGTGTAAGCAGGTGAGGAGCGTGTAAGCAGGTGATGAGTGTGTAAGCAGGTGATGAGTGTGTAAGCAGGTGATCAGCGTGTAAGCAGGTGAGGAGTGTGTAAGCAGGTGATGAGTGTGTAAGCAGGTGATGAGAGTGTAAGCAGGTGATCAGTAACCGTCTGCAGGACTGAAGGGGAGCACAGGTGGGAGGCCCCGGGGAGCCACGTGGTTTTGAGCGCAGAGTGGGGCCGTCCCTACGATACGATCAGGCCGTAGTTTTGAAACACGACCTTCCGGAATGTGCACGAGGCTGTGAGGGGAAGGGTGGAGGCAGGAAACACGGGTGGGAGGCAATTTAGAAATCCCGGAGGGTTGAGTTAGGGTGGTGCCGAGAGATGTTTAAGGAGAGATGATGGGGGCGGCGCAGTGGGGGCGGGGGCGGGGGCAGGAGGGCGGCTAAAGCATCCCAGGGCCGAGCCCAGGAGCGGAGATGGGCGGGGCCTTTCCTGGAAAGGGGTCCCTCCCAAGGGGAGCCAGTGGGGACCCCGGGGAGGGTGGGATTTGGACATTTCAAGCTCCGAGTGAGAGTGGGGCCGGGGAGAGCTGAGACGTGACCTTGCAGTCCTCAGGGCGGAGACCTGGGCTCCCACAGCCGTGTGCACAGGCTGGCAGAATGCCTGTCTCCAGGGGAAGAGGAAGGAAGGACAGCGGTCAGAGCCCTGGCCAGAATGGCGCGGCCCCCGAGGCCCCTGGTACCAGATGTCTGGTAGGAGCCGAGCAAGAGGACAAGCAGGACTGGGGACTGTCTCTCCCTCCAGGAGCTCCTGTGCTGGCCGGGGGCTGGGAGGGTGGGAATGTGGCCTCTATGGATGAATCAGGTCATGGGGACTCGGGGTTTTGTGCCCAGGACTGGACGTCTGTCTCATTACAAACCACAGCAGCTCAGCCCTCTCCCATCAGCGTGGGGTCTGTGCGTTGATGCTCACGTGATGCCCGTGGGCTTGGTGCTCACCAGCGGGGGGAGGGCCACGAAGCACGAGAGCAAATGAGAGACCAGAATGTGGGGGAGCCATGGACATTCCACAGGGGTGTACTAAGGGGGGCCGGGTGTCCCGGGCGGCACACGATACGGCACACGGTTCACCAGGGTCTGAACGTCCCCTTGGCTTGGAGCCTTTCAGGGGCAAAATAACCTCCGCGGCCGCACTCACTTTTATGCCGTGTGTTCCACATGGCACTTCAGCCTCCGAGAAAGAGCTGTTTCCGCCTAATCCCCCTTCCCACCGGGTCCTGGTGCTTCTCCGCTTTCGCTCCCCTTCAAGCTGCACGTGAAGGACGGCTGCTCCCTTCCCTCCTCCCGTCTCTGCTCCAGGACAGAGTCCTCCAGACCCTGCTCCAGGTGCAGCCCTTCGGGGCCCGTGGGAGGTGCTTTCTCTGCCTTTTCTCTGCAACATCGTCACCGGCTTCTTCTCTGCGACATCGTCACCGGCTTCTTCTCTGCGACATCGTCACTGGCTTCTCTGCGACATCGTCACCGGCTTCTTCTCTGCGACATCATCACCGGCTTCTTCTCTGCGACACCGTCACCGGCTGCTTCTCTGCAACATCGTCACCGGCTTCTTCTCTGCAGCACTGTCACCGGCTGGGCTCTAATGCACGTCCCTGGGACACTCGAGTTTCCTGGCATTCCTAGATCCGAATGGATCTTGGGTCACCTGGTACTTAACACAGTTTCCCACCCCTCTTTGCTTTCTGAAGACCTGCCAGGCTGGGGTACGGGAGCTGCGTCCAACCTCCATGGATTCTTCTGTCGGTGGGCGCGGACTGAACCCAGCTTCTCCTCTGGTCCGACACCCCAAGATCCCAGAGTTGACTACCTCCCTCCGGGACGCTCTAGCCCAGCTGTGGGCAAACTACGGCCCGCGGGCTGGATCTGGCCCATTTGAAATGAATAAAACTATTGAAAAGAAAGACCGTACCCTTTTATGTAATGATGTTTACTTTGAATTTATATTAGTTCACACAAACACTCCATCCATGCTTTTGTTCCGGCCCTCCGGTCCAGTTTAAGAACCCATTGTGGCCCTTGAGTCAAAAAGTTTGCCCACCCCTGCTCTAGCCCCTAGATCTGGGAGGTTTAAATTATCAGGGGCACCATCCACACGGGGTGTCCCCTTCCTCTTTCCACCCCATCGGGTGGTAGACAGCAGACTACTGAGCCTGACTGTGTGTGGTATGTGTATGCCTGTGTGTGTGTTGTGTGCTGTGTGTGTTATATGTGCTGTGTGTTGTGTGTGCGGTGTGCGTAGAGGCTCATTCTCCATGGCCCTGCACAGAACTCCCAGCTGTGCATTCCCTGCTGGCACGGGGAGCAGCCCTGCCTGTGCCCACCTGGCATGCCCTCTCACAGAACCACACGCGGTGCCACGGGCCAGGGCAAAGCGGGACTCTGAGGACGCACGCTGCTCGCCACAAACTCAATAAATCAATCCAATGCGAAAGCCAGGACAGCTGGAAATGTGCCGAACAAACTGGTTTTCCTAGGAGCACATGGGAGCCGGCTGCGGTGAGCCAGGGAGCAGGTGGGCATGTCGGGGGAGGTAACTGTTTCTTGCTTTGTGCCTCCGCCTCATCGCAAAAGCCGCCGTGCCCCCGCCTTACTCCACACGACTGGGTCTGGGACAGGTCGGCTCCTTTCCTCCTTATTTTCATTAAGCGAGCAGCTTAACCGCCACCTGATGTCACGTCCTGTCCTTCCTCACCAGGAGTTGTCACGCACCCGAGTCCCGTGAATGACAGATGGTCACAAATCCCTGGACACCCAGACTCAGCCAGTTCAGTCCCCGCCCACCTTCCGGGCGGGATCAGCGGGGACACAGGCGCCGAGGGAGAAACCGCGAGGCGGGCCCAGCTGCGCTCGGGGCTGGTGGGCGAGGCCTCCCGTCTGGCAGGGGGAGGTGAGCCGCCACCAGGGGGAACAGGGGAGGAAGGACAGCTGGGAGCCGCCGCTGCCTGGCCACTCACCTGAGACCGGAGCAGGTGCTGAGACTGGCCGTGGAGCCGGGGTGTCCTTGCACGTGCCCGTGGTAGTAACAATGACCCTGAAAGGAGGAGAAAGCGGCTGTCACAACATCCAACCCCACGCACCATCTCCGCTTGTCTTACCGACAGCATTGGATTCCCTGTTGCCTGAAACATCCAACGAGGAGCCTTAACATTAAATGCTGAGCCCCTCGTGACCCAGCTGGGACCCAGGGCCAGAGCGTCCGCAGGGTTGGAAAACGGACCCAGGCCCTTCTGCTCTCTAACCCCCGTCAGGAAGCCCTGGGCCGGACAAGTATAAGACCCGGCCCCAGGACAAGCACATGGACCTCTGTGTCACCCTCATGCAAACTGCCTGTCATGAGACGAGGCGCGCTGGGGGATAAGGACACGGTGGACGTAATGCCAGGTCCTCTAAGTCTAGGCAAATGGAAGCAGAGAAGCCGATGGGAGTGGGGGCTGGAGAGAGGGGCCCTCACCGAACTGCCCGGCTGAGAGGGACATGTCAACTTGGAAGGAAGGGGAAACCGAGACGCCTTCTGCGTCTAAGTGCGAAGTCCCCGAGTGACAGGCCCGGGATGCCCCCTCATGAGCAAGGTCACTGCACAGGGAGCCACGGCACAGTGCCTCCTAGTGAGGGGCTTCTGTCCAGGACCTGGGCTGGTCTTCCCGCCGAACAGAGGTCCTGCTGCAGCCCCAGGAGAGGGGGCTGCCTGGCAAGACGTGGGGGCCCCACACACCTCCCTCGCCTCCTCTGGGTGATGGGCGTGTGGTCTGCGGCAAAGGGCTGCGTCGTCGGAGGGACCAAGCAACCCCCTTCCTTCTGTCTCTTGGGTTGCTTGTGCGTCAGCTGCCGGATCTAAGAAACCAGCCCCTGACCTACGGGGACGAAGGCTGACACCTGTTTCCTTGTAAGAGTTTCATAGGTTCAGTTCTTACGTTTAGACCTTGAATCTACTGTGAGTTAATTTTTGGCTTGAAGTGGAGTCCGATTTCATTCTTCTGCATGTCAGTCCCCAGAACCATCTGTTAACAGTCGATTCTTCCCCCGATTTTTCTCGGTGACCCTCTGTGTGCCTGTGTGTGAGAGCATGTGTGAGCACATGTGTATGTGCCTGTAGGTGCGTGTCTGTGTGGGAGCATGTGTGGGAGCATGTGTCTGTGTGTGTCTCTGTGTGTGCCTGTGTCTGTGTGTCTGTGCCTCTGTGTTTGCACGTGCCAGTTGCTGACCTGCATTTCAGCATGACTGGCCCAGCCATGTCCCTCGTCTGGGACCTCAGGGGGCGGTGCCCTCACAGGAAGAGTGCGCGTGTAGCCCGCCTCGCTGTGACAGGGTGCGCCCTGCTCAGCCCGGCTGCACAGGATGGTCCGGAGGTAGAAGCGCCACACCCGGGCCCGGCTGCTGAGCTCCGGCGCTAGCGAGAGCCACGTCTGCTGAAAGGAGGGTAGAGGGCCGACCTCGGGGCCGGCCCCGTGCGGCCCTGTCCTCGCCGCTGCCGTGCTCTCGGGCGGTCTCCGTGCCCGGCCCCTGGAGGTGCTCGGTGAACACATGGGCAGCAGGCGAATGCGCTAAGGAGACTGTCTGGGGGTGACTGCAGCCTTTCCCGGAACTGCCTTCGGGATGTAAGCAGCATAAACGACTGCATGGTCTCCCGCAGGCCGTGTTTAAAGGGACAACACAAACCCGGATCGCCCCTCGGACGTGGCCAGCGGAGGATGAAGTCCACACGGCGCATCGTGCCGGGCGACGGGGAGATGACAGGCGGGCGATCGATCCCCAAATGAGAACCAGCCACCGCTCTGCTCGGCAGCCAGCTCGCACGGATGGTGGAGAGATAGAAAAAAGACTGCCGCCCCCAAGGGCTTTTCATTTGATCCATAATTTACATGTGGGAAGATCCACTGGGCGCTGACTTGCGGGGTAAGGCGATGAGTCAGCACATTTCTTTCTGTTTTCAGCGGATTCAGTAAAAACAAAACTCCCAGAGCTGCCTGGTGTCCTCGTGGTGGAAGACGGCCCGAGGCCCAGACTCCGGCCGGCGTCCGCTGGAGGGGCCGCGACCCAGGGCGGGTTCCCCCCTCGCCTCGCCGGAACCCTGGCGGCTCAGAGGGCACCGAGGCCGGGAGAGGCCGGCTGAGCCGCAAGGAGAGCAGCATCGTGTAGTGAGAGGACCGTGTGCTGCTTGCTTCCAGGCGGGGGTGCCTGTCCGCCCCCCACGGCCCCAGGCTCCAACGCGTCCCCCACTGAATCCAGAGTCCAGGTCGGAGGAGGCTTCATGACCTCCAAACGGGGGGGCGTCTGGGATATTCTGACAGGGGCCAACGCACACCTGGGCGGAAGCGAGGCTCCAGAAAACCCCAAGTTCCCCCCCACCCCCTACCCCCCCATTGCCTGCCCCGCCGCAGGACCCACCCGGGCAGGCGGCTGCAGGTCGTCGGGAGTCTCAGTCACCAAGGGAGTCAGGAGGGCGGCCTCGGGGCCTTGCCAAGGCAGGTCTCCCCCATCAGCAGGAAGGCTCAGGGCGGTCCAGCTGCCCCTCCAGCCCCTCCCTGCAAAGCCCCTGCCCAGGGGACCGAGGGAGTGAGCAGAGGGAAGGCGAGGCCGTTTGCCGCACGGTCACCTCGTGGCAAAAGGAGAGAAAGGAGAAGGTGACCTCCTCCCCCATGCGCGCGACACCACAGGAAGCAGAAGACACGCCGTCGCCACCCCTCGGAGACAATGCGTGGCGTCCGGGCCCTGCGTCCGGGCCGGCCTCCGAGATGCTGCGTGCGTGGCTCTCGGCCCTCCCACGAGACCTGCGGCGGCGGGCGCCGTCCCTCTGGTCCCTTAGTCCCCCATGAGAAAAGGACAGCAATGCCCCAGGAAGGGCGGTGTGCCGGGGAGGTGGCAATCACAAAACTGAACGCGCCCTGGAAGCGGATCTCATGTTGCCCGTGTCCGTGTGAGACCGGCCGCCCCGCCGTGCCCACCGGAGGACTCCAGCCTCACCCCTTACAGGAGGCCCCACACGAATGTTCCTGCCTCTGTCGGCCAGGAGCTCGCCAATCTTCCTTCCATGCTTGAAAACCATTTTCTTTAAATGTATTCTTATTGGTTTCAGAGAGCAAGGGAGAGGGAGAGAGACAGAGAAACATCCATGATGAGAGAATCATTGCTTGGCTGCCTCCTCCCTCTCCTCCTATTGGGGATCAAGCCCGCAACCTGGGCGTGTGACTTCAAACCGTGACCTCCTGGGTCAAAAGTCAGTGCTCAACCCCCGAGCCACGCGGGCCGGGCTGGAGTGGGCTGGTCTTTAGTCTTCACTCTTGGGATTCTTGTTTTTCTTCAGTTCAGGGACTTGCTCACCTGGGCTAGGGGTACCCTCTCGCCTTGGCTAGGGCCACGCCCTCTCACCTGGGCTAGGGCCATGCCCTCTCGCCTTAGCTAGGGCCATACCCTCTCACCTGGGCTAGGACTACCCTCTCACCTGGGCTAGGGCCACACCCTCTCACCTGGGCTAGGGGCACCCTCTCGCCTTGGCTAGAAGGGATTTGCCCCAATGAGCACCCACAGTGCCTGGAAGGTGGTGTTGAAGTCGGGCTACAATGAAGCCACATTTCCCAGGCCTGTCCCGGCTCATCGGGCCAAGACCAGGTTTTGCTGGAGGCACTAGGGTGCTTCCATGAGTGACACCCAGCTCCTCTCGGGCCTCAGGAAGGCGATGGGCTGTGAGCTTCTCAGGTAACAGCTGCCACGTTTTAGCACAGACTCGGGAGCGCAGCATCTTGGGGGCCGCACGCGCCGGACTTACCGTGTGGTTCCGAGTGAGGGACACCTCCGTGCCGTCCTGCAGGTAATGGGTTTCCGTGAAACCGTTGGCAATGAGGCCTCTGTGGGGAGACAGGACATGCTGAGTGCAGAGTCTGCTGAAGGTGCCTGTGCATGTGTAGGCCGCAGACTGCCAGGGTCTGCCCCCCACCCCCCTTTTCTTACAGGGGACCCCGTCTTCCTGAGGCCCCCAGAGGACCTTCCCATGTGCGGCTGTCTGGGGAGAGGCAGGAGAGGCAGGCAGGAGAGGCAGACTGTCAAAAAGTTACCCCCAGATTGCTCTCCTTAGACCCATCTTGCAATGCTTCTGCTCTACGTTCTCCCGTGTATAATTTAGTTCCACAGCTTGGAGGAGATGGATCTCATCCATAGGACGCTTTTCCCCAGCGCCGGAGATGGGAGGAACACCTGCTCCCCTCCCCTCTGGGGGCACTTTCTCCCCCCGCCACCCCCCACCCCCCCGCCCCGGCCCCGGTCATGGACCGAGTTAACATCTCTCCGTTTCTCCCACGATCGTTTTAAGCCTTCCCCCTCCACCTTAGTCCTGCTGAGCTGCCTGCTCCCACCTCAGGTTGAGCCAAGGGCAGACGCTGCGCCCCGAAGCCCAGCACCCAGGCCAACGTACTGCACCTGCTTAGTGAATGGGGGACGACAAACACAGGCCCAGCATCACAGAAAAGCAACCCGGCCGGACCGCAGGCGCTCAGACTAACCGGATCCATTGAAAAGAGAGAAACTCGCTGCAAGGCTGCCGTCGCGCTGGCGGAGGGGGTGGGGCGCAGGCAGTCATGCTCCCCGCGTCGTTACTCCAGAACTTTCCGATGCTGTTGGCGCCTCGAGACCAAGCCCGACAGCGAGGCTTCCATCTCAGAGCCACTTACATGAGGGCGACGGGCGGGGAAGCCCGAGGTCGGCGCCAATTACTTACAATATGGAAAGCTCACTTGTCAGGCGTCAATTTTTCCTGTTATTTCCTTGAAGACCATGTGTCCGGTCTGAGGGCCGGATACTCTGTGCGGCTTATTCACGCAAAGGCCCGGGAGACCGCCCGTGTTTGTCAGTTACACCAGCAGGCACCCTTGGCAATGGAGTCACACTCCGGTGCTGCCCAGCCGCCCCCCCCACCGCCCCCCGCCAGCAAACCTGTTTGTATTCACAGGACCAAGCCCGTGTCCTGCTGAAGATTGCTCCCCCACAAGCCATTATCCCACAAACGACCACGTCACCCTATACAGACGCGGGCAGTGGTTTTCTCCTGCGGGAACTTGGAAAGTCAGCTGAGGTATGTTCGTAGGAGGAATACATTGCCTGGAGCAGCCACAGACACAGCAGGCAATGCAGACCCGTAATGAAAACGCACCAGGCGCGGTGCCGAGGCCCCGAGGCAAATGCTCTGTATTAACACGCTCCATCCCCCGCCAGAGCCAGCCAGATGTGGACAAGGCGAAAGGAAACTCGGTGCGGCCCCAGGCCGATGCGTCCCACCCGAGCGATCTCACCCTGGCTTCCCGTGAGAGCGCAGGCCCTGACCACAGCTCCGCACGCCGACACCACGGGCTCTCCGCACTGTTACGGAGAGAGCGGACGGGGCGACTCTGCAGAGACAGCACGTGGAGGGATGAGGCAAGAGGAGGAGATGAACAACCAGGGAGAGAACGGAGACTGGGGATTGTCTACACCTCAGCCTGCTGGACCCCTGTCAGGCCTCGATCTTTGCACGGATTCGTGCTGCCCGTTCTCCTCCTGGGAACGTCATGCTGGTAACGAACTCACACTCCAGGCTCGTGATCTGGGGAGTGGGAGCCAGGCACCGCCACGGCCACCGTTCCTGCCCTGTCCCTTCCCCAGCCTTGTCCCTGCCTCCAACTCCCGCGGCTGCTGGCTCAGGGTGTCAGTCAGGCCCTGCGACACCTACTTTGAAGTGCATTTTCTTCTTCTTTTTTTAAGTCCTCACCTGAGGATATTTTTCCATTGATTTTTAGAAAGAGTGGAAGGGAATGGGAGAGACAGAGAGAGAAACATGGATGTGAGAGAGACACATCGATTGGTTGCCTCCTACACGAGCCCTGACCAGGGTTGGGGATCGAGTCTACAACCCAGGTACGTGCCCTTGACCGGAATCGAACCCGAAACCCTTCAGTGAGAGGGCCAATGCTCTATCCACTGAGCACACCGCCAGGGCATCAGGTGCATTTTCTTAGTTTACTTGGCACAGACCCTGTGGTTGTCACCTGCATGACAAGGGAGAGGCAGCTACGCAGAGAGGTTGAGTGACTTGTCCAAAGCCACACAGCTGAGCCGGTGGAGACTGAACGAGGCTCCATTTGGCTCCAAAGTCGGCCTCACCCTGGCCACTGTCAGCACAGCCTGCCGGGAGGACATGTGAGCGCAGGGTCCGGAGCGTCCGGAGACAGGCAGCAGCCAGTCCTCTGCCCCTTTTCCTGGAATTACTTTTTCTCAGTGCAAAATGGGGTGCACGCTGCTTCCCTGCACACTCGATTCGATTTAGCTGCCAAGTTCAAACTATCTCTGACGATAACGTCCGCATGTTGGGACCCGAACTGTGCAGGACTGTACATCTATAAGTGCAACGGAACAGTTCACCCTCGTTGTCTCTTGTTATTCTCCGTTTTCTAACGTTCTCGAAATGATCAAAACAACGATCTCCCCCTGGAATTAAAAAACAACAACATGTTCCCGTTCCCCAGCTCTTTCTCATTTAGTTTCACAAACTATAATAAATAAAACTGTTGATACAGCATTTTGGAGACTGTAGGGGACAACTGTGTTTCCTGCAAAATAATTTCTTAATATACTGCTTCCATTTTAAGTCACGAAGACAGAGTTTTGGCTCGAATCGCATGGCACTTGCACGGGAGCGTGCTGTTCCTCTCGCCGATGACCCCGCCCGTTCAGGAAGCGCACCGATGACAGCCGCAGACGCCGCTGCAGCTGCTGGAGGGCTGCCTGGTCAATTGCGTTTTCCAACCAGAACACAGAAACAAGTGGGAAGTGAGGGGCTCTACGCAGGCCTGATGCTTTGGGCTACTGTCTCCCTTTTTTAATGATCGTCTGTCTCCTCAGCCCCGAGGCGAGGGCCTGGAACCCAGCAGGTGTTCACTGGAAGTTTTTGAAGGAGCGTAGCGATCAGGAATGGAAAGATACATCCAAGGCGCGTGCAGGCCATATAGGGTGACTGATGTCACACGTGGCAAAACAGGACTCTGGGCCATGCGAACACATCTACAAGCATCACACCCTCAACATTGTAAAACTGGCTACAAACCACGCCGGGCGGAGGGGGGGGGAATGGGTTGGTTTGTATGACTGAAGCTCTAATCCGTTCCCCTTGGGAAATCTTCCGACGCATCCGCTGTCCCCCTCACGGGAGTGCATTCTAGCAAAGCTGCCGGCCTCGGACAAGGACAAGCTCACAGCCCCAGGCGAAGGGCTAGCGCTTCCCCCTCCGCGTGGCTTCGCTGCTAAGTGCTCGAGCCGCCCGGGCGCCCGGGGGAGACGGTGCCCGCTCCACGCACCCGGCCCAGAACGTCCCTTCCCTTCTCGGGACAAGCTGTGGCCAGAAAAAGGCAAACATTATCCAATCTTTCTGGCTTCCAGCCTCGGATCTGTTTCTCAGATGACAACACTGTGGTTTCTTTCTTTTTTTTTTAAAGAGAATACTTCCTAGAGAGAACCCGGCGACCGGGACTCAGATGGGACCTACGGTTTCATGTTCACACGGCAATCCCGCACGCGAGGCTGGAACCGGGTGACGTCATGGCCCACTAACCTCGGGCTCTGAGCACGGGCTCCAGAAAGGCGCTCTCATTAGGAGCTGAAACCGCCCTGTGTCTGCGGGGAAAGGGCAGGCTGTGTCGGGGGGAGGAAGGTACAACGTAATGATTTAAAATGTAATTTACCGTCTCCGCCTCAGCAATCTCTCCTAATAGCTCCAGGGAAAAGCACTCTCAGCGCCTGCACGCTTATTGGATTAGTCAGCGCTTCTCAGGAGGTCAGGAAGCTATGACGTGTCCTGCCCCTTAGGAGACTGGGGACGGGGATGAAACGGGAAGATGGAGACAATGTCAAGTTCACGCTCTTTTCTGCTCCCGGAGGGTGGACACGGCCCAAATGAAACAACCACATTTCACCTCCCCGGGGGTCACAGCCCTGCTTGGCCCGGGACTCGTGACTATGGGCCAGTCCCGGGGAATTACCATTCATCTGACTGGGGGTGACGATGGCACTGCAGTCTCATAAGACAATGTTCATATTTTAGAAATGCATGCTGATGTGTGTGTGTGACATGATGAATGGCTCTGAGGGGGCCGCCTCAATAAAAATATATTAAAAAAATAAAAAAGAAACAGCCACACAGACCAGCACGTCGCTTCCCAGGGACCCACAGCCAAAGCAAAGGGGCGGCGTACAGGGGAGGTGGTGTCTCCACACAGCGAGGACATCACTGACGCCGAACACCGCGCCGGGCACGGGGGCCACCGCAGCTCGCCCTGGCCTGGCCCGCCTGCGCGTGGGGCCGCGCTACGAATTCTTCTCCTTATTTCATCGTAACAATAACAATTACTCAGAAAAATAAAAACCAAAACAAGCAACCCACTGGAACAGCAAGAGGAGATTCCTCCGGGCTTTTATTTTAAACACATGTTTCTAAAGAGGCCGAGCGCGGTGCCAGGAGCTCAGCGTCGGGTCTGCGTGCCTTTGGCTGTGTCCGCGCTTTGCCTGGGAGACGCCTGTGAGTGCCCTGGATTCCTGCTCTCTCATCAAAAACCACTGAGGGCCCAGTGGTTGAGCCTCGACCTAGGAACCGGGAGGTCGTGGTTCGATTCCTGGTCAGGGCACAGGCCCGGGTTGCGGGCTCCATCCCCAGTGGGGGGTGTGCAGGAGGCAGCACATCCATGATTCTCTCTCATCATTGATGCTTCTCTCTCTCTCCCTCCCTTCCTCTCTGAGATCAATAAAAACATATTTAAAAAACAAACAGAAACAACAACTGCTGAGGAACAGCACAAGGAGTTACGAGGCATAACCAGCTAATCCCCCG